AATTCCAGGGTGTGCAGAGCTTCACAAAACCGGTAGAGCTCTATCAAACCTGAAAAGGGGTTTTCAAGAGCTAATGCCCACTGAGTGACTGATGCTGAGTTTTGTTGGCAGAGTTATAGGTCTAGCTTCGCTAAGACTTACATGGTCATAAATGGTTAGAATGCCCACTGAACAGACTGAAAATTCTGCTCTTGTCTAGTATAGTCATTGAATAATCATTATAGCAAGACAGCAAGAAATGAAAAGAGAAAGCAATCTTTTTGCTTTTTATAGGCAGATTCCATTTCCCTGCTCCTATACTCTGTACTTTTCTTCCAAATGCTTCTTCCTGATAATTTTTTTCCTCTGTGGATATTCCTGAAAGACATCCCTTATGCTCCAATTTACTCAAGAATTATACCTTTGGGATCATCAGGGCATCATTGTGTGGGCAGGTCCCCGCACTGAAAATTCCTAATTTGGGTTTATTGCCAGAGAAGTTGATCTCTTAGTTTTCAGCTGGAGCTGGAGAAGAGTGAGCACCACAGTAACGAAAGGAGAGAACCATGTTGAGACAAGTTAAGTGAAACCATTGCTGATGTTCAGCCCTGGGGAAAATGGCTGAGGTCCTTCAGCTCTTCAAAACTTCCCCCAAGACAATCAGACTCATGCATAAAGATGTAGGAATAAGGATATTTATCAAAGGAATCAAAAAGGAATAATCAAAATTTCCACCAATGGGGAAGCAGTTAAATATATACATGTATTTACTGGAATATTAGACAGCCATCAAACACGGGGATGCCATCTGCATTAATCAACATGATAAGATACCCGGGGTATAATTTGGAAATCAAGGCAGGTCACAATAGCATAATCCCATTAAGGTTTTGTACCTCTGTGTGTGTATGTGAAAGTATAGTACAATATACTTTCAAGAACATATGAACAATTAACCTGGAATTGTGGATCGTGTTTATTTTCCTGCATGTATTCTCTAAGTTTTCTCATAATGCATTATTTTTGCAATAAAAAACAAAGCTATTTGAGGAGAAAACAGCTACTCAGCAAGTATTTATGAGTCCTGACGTCTGGGGTGCTGGAGAAGTACTAAAAGAATTGATGAGTTCTCTCTGTGTTACTTTCATTCCAATTATGGCTTCAGACTTTTTGGGCGGAGATGGCTACTTCATCCTCTACAGGATAACATCATTTTGACCAAAGCACTTGCCTTGACAAAACTGTGGATAATAAATGAATGGAAATTAATTCCATCATTAACTTTAGTACCTTTCTTCTACTGCCTCTGGACCACTAATTTAGGAAAGAAGGAATAAGATCCATTTTTAAAGTTCACAAGTATTTACTAACTTATCGAACTGACCAAGCATGTAGCTAGTCTTCGAAGATGCCCACACCATGAAACGCAGTCCCAGTATTCGGCCTGGGGCTTTTGGATGACTAATTCGGGGGATATCCAACTACCCTGGAAAGATTCCAAGTACTCTGAGATGCCAGGCTCTGAAGAGCCCGCGGTAGACACACAGAGGCCGCCTCAAGGAGAGATGCCTCATTAGTCCCTGACCCAGCCCAGTCCAGCCACCCCAGCCTGGGCACCAGACAGGTGGCATGAGGACATTCCCAGTAGCTCTTCCTCCAGCTACCTGACTACAGATGCATGAAAGACGACAAGCCAGAAGCACCCAGCTGAGCCCAGCCAACCCACAGGACTGGGAGAAATAGTATTAAAGCCATTGTCTGAAGCTACTAAGCTTTGGGGTTTGCTACGTCACCGCAGATAACCAAATCACCAAGGAACAACCACGAGAAGCTTTTGTTATTAACCCGATCGCCTTCTCCATGTTCCACTTTAATTTGGTTTCCTACAAAATCTTGAGTAAACAGGGACTCATTTTGATGGGGGCAAATTAGTGTCAGTCAACATGAGAAGTGTGCAAAAGAAGAAGGCATTATACCCATCCAAAGGAAAAAACTTTAAGATCTGATGATATTTTAAAAGTTGGAAAATAAGGAATACTTATGGAGAACTGTGTAAAACACTTTCATAGATGATGCCTGAGAATACTGTGTTTGTTTATGCCTTCCCCCTGCACATACCCACACCCCTTATAGGAACTTAAAATTCCCAGCGCCAGGGAAGGTCTATCACTTAGAAAAGATGAAGGATTACAGCAATTTTAAGACAGTGCATGGGCAGGACTTCAAAATCAGTATAACAGAGTCCATTGGCATTAGGAAGTGACTTGAGCAACATATGCAGAAGTAGGGTGAGCCCTCCACTTCGATTCTAACCGCAGAAATGACGTCCACCCAAGGTGAAACACTAGGGGAACTCCAAAAGGAGTCTGCTCCTGACTCAGCCACATCAACCTGGTTAAGCAATAAGCAAGACTGAGGGGAATGTGCACCTCTGGGTATAACTGATGATGCACTCAAACTGGTATAACATTAAGGTCTAGCCAATCTCTAAACTGGATTAAGGCAGATGCAAGTCAAATAGTTCCAGGCACTCAGTTGATAGGAGAAATCAGAGAACTCTGCAGACCCAACCATATATACTTGAAATAACATTTCCTTTCCCAGAACGTCTGTATCACAGCACTGCCTGATGACGTAAGGCAAATTTCCTAGTATTATGCATATTACATAGAAGACCAGGAAAAATTCGAATGACTAGTTGGCCTAAAAGTTCAGTGTCAGGAACCCATGAAAGCCAAGAAGTCTGGGTCTTAACCTTTTCATTTAAGCCATCTGGACCCAGCCTCCCCACACCAACTGATTTTAATAATGTGATATTGGCCTTCACGTCTAACCTAGGAATATGTACTACCCGAAGATTGAGTCTGAATGAGCTGAAGATGAAGTGAGTCTGAAGATGAAATGAGCTTCTAAGGAGTCTTCGAGACTACAACACTGTTGTTCTGTTATGCTTTGTTCCATTCTGTTTGGGAAGTGGAAATAGGAAAGCAAAAAGAGGGTAAATGGTTCAAGCCAAGCTTTTACCTGCAGAGCTTCTATACCTCAAAGCAGCATCCCTGGAACAAAGAATTCCCATGAACAACTCAATTAATATACAGACTCGCTGCACTTTTTTAAATGTCTTTTATTGGTTGTACATTTTCTTATGAGATCAACACACCATTTCTTTCAAGGACACCTTGCTCCTGAATACGGTACGTTATTTGGCCTAGCTATGAAAGTCATAGCAAGCACTTTGACAGAAAGAGGTGGATGGGTGTCTTTTGCCATTATTCCTGTCTTCTCTATCTTCAAATTGTTGTTTGAGTCAGTTCATAGATTGACACAACATTGAACACAACACACACAGTGTGAAGTTTTGCATACACACACACAAACATCCGGAGACTGTTACAGTGTCTGCGCTCTCTCCTTCCTCCTCAGCAGCAGTATGAAACTGAAGAATATCCTGAGATAGGAAATCAAAGTACAAGCTCCTCATCAAGAGAGGAGTCCCAGTTTGACTGAATGTCCCAATTTCATCATCCTTTTGAGGTCACCATACGAACCATGTAACAACCACTTAGTTTAACATCTCAGCCATTTCCTTGGTCAAAAACACAGAGTCAATGAACTATTTTGTATCACATCAGAACTTTACTCTTCCTCTACTGTGCTCTTAGATCAGAAAAGAGAAGGGAAATTATAATGTTATGCTTTTTACAAGATACTGTGATTGGAAATTTCACCACAGAATGACCTATGAAAGGCAAAATTACCCCCCACCTTTGGCAATTATTAGAATTCCTCGTTTACTGACTGAGAAGAAGCCAGTCATCCAGGCTGTTAAGTATGCCCCACCAATGGTATTTGCATGAAACGATGAATTTCCCAAAAATAAGGACCTAGGACAGGTGGCTTCTCCAAATGTTAAAAACAAACATGGTGTCTTTAAAGCCACATTATCCCTCAGGTCAGTATATTTCTGCTAATTCTGTCAAAACTTAACCTACATCAACACCAATGCTTTCATCTACCCCAAGTCCTATGCATTGGCTATTTCCCTGGTTTCAGGATTTTGAGATAACATCACCGTTCACAATAAGCAGTAGTTCAAAAGAAAACACCACCACCACCAATGCACACAACCTAGGTAACAGGAAAACTACGCTAAAATAAAAATGCATGGTGGTCACCAAAGCTGGTATGGCAAAGACAACAAAAGGCATGCTTCCCCACAAAACAGGTATTTTTAAATACAATCCTAGAGCTTGACTGAAGTTATCAATTGATAGTCATAATTTCCCTTTCCTGGACAATGGTGAGAAATGAAGAGAGCAGCCCCACATATTTGCTTATAGGGAAAGAGAATGAAGTACATACTCCCTGACTCCTTTCGCTCTGCAGCTCACAAGCAAAAAGTTCCCAGGGCCAAAGCATCAATTTCACATTCACCTCATTCCACCCACATCCTTCACAGGCCTTTATGAACTTCTAATGAATTCCATACTGGGCAGTTCAGTCTGCCTCATTCATAAAGAGAAGACAGTGCCATCCATGAAGAAGAGATGATTTCCACCAGGCAAAGCTAGCAGCACATAATACATAGCAGGAAAGATGGGGGAGTCAGTCAATGAGGGAATCCACAAAATGGTAGTCATTCTGCTATTTCACACTTCCCAGAGACACAGTGCTGGAGATGGGTTTCGAAGGATAGGGGTGCACAACCTCTCAAATCTCCTTTCATAATATTTTAGGTATTACGAAGAGATTGCAGGGCCTCTTAACTAACATATGGAATTACTTCTTTCCTAGCATCAGGGGACTGTAAAGACCAGGCATGTGTCCACTTGCCCTACAGCTGTCTTCACAGTAAACATGGCTTACCAACAAATGTGGGGTGCAACACAGGAGAACAATCATATATACAAACAGAAAACGTCTATCATAAAATTCACACAATGTAAGGGGGGGAAAGTATGTATGGTTCTTTTCCTTATAAGACCAGATTAATAACTGGAAGCAGCATTTTTCCGAGACGAAACTAAAGCACGAAGGAATCTGGGGCAATCTGCCTATTTTACTAAAATTCTTGTAAAGTTCAATTCTGTACAGAAGTTACATCCAGCATCCCATCAGGATTTTCACAAAATATATAGAAAAATGTTTGTGTCTTTAAATAAAGAATTTGAACTACATCCCTAACACCTTTCTCAGCTTTAAATGACCTAATGTGATGATTCTGTGCAGTAAGAAATACGTTCCAATCATGGAAGGTACTTACATAACGAAGACATTTTTCCTTTAAAAATACCTGTTATTTTACAAAAACATCATTTTGGTTCCTATAGAAAATCACTCAGAAAATAAACTTGAGACTATAGAAAAAACTAAACACAGGGGTATGATGACAGAGAAATTGTCTGAATTTTCTTAACTGAACCTCCTCAGGTGGCTTTTTACAGAGAGACTGGCCAAGAACTCCATAAATTGTTGCCAAATATAACTTTCTGACACATACAGAGGTCTAAAATGGCTGCCGGAAAACCCTGGCTGTTAAATTGGGTTGACCGGCTAACGTGCCACTATCAGAATCCACCACAGACCACGTGCGTGTAGAAGGCACCTGACAGGTTTCAACCAATGCCGAAGCATCCCCTTGGGTTCAGTTCGAGACAGGTAAACCACCAGTTTTCAGCTTCTAAAGGCTGTATCAGTTTCCCATTACCGTTCACCTGTGAACCCCAGCGAGGGTAATCGTTAGCTTGACTCTCTCACAGGACCCTTCTCTGTGCCCAAATTGTACTTTTTCCTACACGTCAATGAACAAAAATGGCAACTCCCGCCCCTGCAAATGTAGAAATTTCGATATTCCATGGCCCATCGAGAGCCCAGGCTTGCCCCTCCTTGCCACTGAGATCAGGTTATTTGCAACCAGTTTAGAAAAATAAGCAATTCAAGACTCTCCATGCCTGGCCATCACATATTGATTGTTTTGCCTTTTCTTTCAAAGGATTCATGCTTAAAAATTTAAATAAATGGCCCTCTCTTTTGGCCCTTCAGCCTCCAAGCCCTGTTAGCATCCTGAATGTAGCAGAAGCCAGAGCAGACATTGTTGGCTAGGAAATTTCCCAGATTCTTTGGCGGGTCTTCAAGTAATCATTTCAACCAAAGTTCCCAAGCCTTTAATAGCCTTAAAGACTTTCCAGTTAAGGGGAACGATAATGGTAGCCAAATACTCTGATTGGAGGTTGATGGGGTTTTCAGATGGGCATCACACTCTTCATCCTTCATCAAATGGTCTTCCCTTCACGACAAGAGACCCCCAGGGGTACCACGGAACAGCCTATAAACCACTTCTGTGCCCTCTCTCCCCAAGTACCAAACACACACTAGGTCAGACAATTTGAGATCAGAAGAAAGTAAAAACCACTTTTTCCACACAATTCCCTGCTTCTGAAAATGCAAACTAGCTTTGAGTGTTATGTTTTAAGATTTATCAATTCTCCTCTCCTGATGAAGACCTATAGTGTTTTTCTCAGAACATTCACAGCCCTCTACCTTCTGGAGAAAGTATGCACGTCAGAGAAGCTCTGGTGTTCACCTTTCTGTCCACGTCAGCCACCAGAACTAGAGATTAAAGGGCTTGGTTTTGTGTTCCTATTTCTTTACCCAGAGGGTAGCTGACCAATGGGTTGTTTACTCTCAAAATGCTGTAAGGCCACTAATCATTTATCTTTTTTTCTGGGTGTCACCAGTTTAAGCTGGTGACTCAGCAGAATCAATAATACTAGGGAAACAAGAAAATTTTCTGAGATCCAAATCAGTGCCACTCTCTAAATTTCTTTAGAGTTCAGTATTTTTAAGAAAAAAAAAATTAACATTTAGCTTTTTGATAGGTCTTTCCAGAGGAGATCATGTCCATAGTAATATTGAAAATAAGTTAAGGGATACACCTGTCTGCCAGCTTCTTCTATCATGGGGACCCTGGTTAAGCATCGCTCCTTGCACGTATCCTTTCTCCCAGCCCCCAAACCTAATTTCACATCACTGTTCAGCTTAAAGTCCAGAGTCTACAGACAATCTCCTAATGCAGGGGCCTGACTTGCTTTGTTGACATACCTTGCGTACCCCAAGACAAACAAATGTTCATAATGACCAAATGATGCTAACTGCTCATTTCCGGCCACAATTACTTCAGAGGAAGATACCCAATCCAGCAGTCCTTCTGTACAGGCCGGATGGAAGTTTTATTATAAGGTCTTACAATCTGAATGAGGGTTTTGCTAAAAGTTCTCTTAGATATCCCTTACATTTTCAAGATTTGGGAACAACGGAATCCACATTGTCAAACCAAGGCAAAAACTGCCGATTCTTAGTTGGATCTGTTCCTTTACACAGAAGCGTTCAGTCGGCCCAGGTCACATGGGCCTGGTGCAGGACGAACAAGCAAATGCAATCAAGGGAACCAGGAAGGACCACGTGGCTTGGTCAAAGCCACAAACTCTGGGGGCTAGTTAGGAAGTTCTGCTTCCTACTTTAAGACGCAAGTACATGCCTAAACATTCCCGTTCGTTCCCTGAAATCCATCTCCAAGTCAGAAGAGCATTAGCCTCATTCCTTGAAAGAGACCCTGAGTCCCAGAAACACAAAAGTGGACCTGGGAGAAAACCTGCATGTATCCCGACAAAGAGCCCACAGAGAAATCTTTCCATACTGACACCTCCAAGACAGAAACACAATGCAAATCTCCCCAGACCTCATTGCAAACTCCCGAGGATGAAGGGCGCAGTGTCGTAGTTACTTCAAATAACAATATGAATGATGTCAAGATCCTGACAGTCCCTGGGAACTAGGTTGGATATTTTTTAATTCTATTAACACATGTTTGTGTTAGAGGGGATATTTTTTTCTTTAAAAAAAAAAAAAATCTCTACCACAAAGTCCTTGACCTTGCTTTGTGTTTCTACTTAGGGCCCAGTCCCCTTCACCTTAGATAGGAAAGAGGCTTTTAGAGAAATTTTGCTTGAGAAAGGAGTTTGGGTCAGGAGCCAAAAAGATAAACCCCGATGTTAAGTGTTGATTCCAAATGAATCCCTTAGAAAACCCAAAGTATATTTGCATAGCTTTCAACAGTGCCTCTCTAAACCTCAGCAAAAGGACTCATCTTCTTTGCGGATACCAGGAACGAGTGGTGAGTGATGTGCTTGGTGGCAAGGTGCTTTCCCCAGAAGGATAATGTCATTTTTGGAGGCTCTGGAATTCAGGTTTTGTTTCCCTAGGCGAAGAGAAAACATTCTTTCACGTAAATTGCCAGATCGAATACTTAATACTCAGGCAGTTCCAAATGTTCTTCTAAGTATAATTTATGTTTGCCTGATGATGCGGCAGGAAGAAAACTTGTTTCTGAATAATAAAGAGAAAACAGCATCAAGTCAGATGTGTTGGGCTGTTCTGGGAGAAGAAGGGGGAACTGGGCAGCCTAGGTGGCAGACAGGTCTTGGTATAGGGTTCCTTTGGCAAAAAGGGCACAAGTGCTGAGAGAAGGTGAAGCAAATTATAGTTGTTCTGGTCCCACAGGGAAGGCAAAGCTTACACTAGAGACGAGGCGGCCCAGAAACTCAACCAGGGCTGGCAACCCAAGATCATCACATCAGAAAGGAGGCATTTTGCATAGGCCCCTTGGGATAGAAATTTAGTGACGATTATAACAGTGCTCAAGCGGTGGGCCTAAGTCTCCTGTCACAGTGAAAGCCCGGAGCTCTGAGTCTGCTTTCGAGCAAGTATTGTGACCCCAAACTTTGTCTGCCTTACTTACTGTCTTCCAAGGTGGCCAAAGAGCTCAGGTGGATGAATTGGAAGATTTTAAGAATTCTATCTGCCACTACTGGGTATTTACCCCAAAGATACAAAAGTAGGGATCCGAAGGGCTACGTGCACCCCGATGTTTATAGCAGCAGTGTCCACAATAGCCAAACTGTGGAAAGAGCCAAGATGTCCATCGACAGATGAATGGATAAAGAAGAGGTGGTCTATATATACAATGGAATATTATGCAGCCATCAAAAGGAATGAGATCTTGCCATTTGCAACGACGTGGATGGAACTGGAGGGTGTTATGTTGAGTGAAATAAGTCAAACAGAGAAAGACATGTATCATATGACCCCACTGATATGAGGGATTCTTAATCTCAGGAAACAAACTGAGGGTTGCTGGAGTGGGGGGTGGGGTGGGAGGGATGGAGTGACTGGGTGATGGACACTGGGGAGGGTGTGTGCTCTGGTAAGTGCTGTGAATTGTGCAAGACTGTTGAATCTCAGATCTGTACCTCTGAAACAAATAATGCAATATATGTTAAGGAAAAAAAAAAAAAGAAGATAGCAGGAGGGGAAGAATGAAGCGGGGGAAATCGGAGGGGTAGACGAACCATGAGAGACGATAGACTCTGAAAAACAAACTGAGGGTTCTAGAGGGGAGGGGGGTGGGAGGATGGGTTGGCCTGGTGGTGGGTATTGAGGAGGGCACATTCTGCATGGAGCACTGGGTGTTGTGCACAAACAATGAATCATGGAACACTTCATCTAAAACTAATGATGTAATGTATGGGGATTAACATAAGAATAAAATAATTTAAAAAAAAAGAAAAAAAAAAGAATTCTATCTGCCTTCTACTTCTGAGGGCGCTAAGACCTCCCAAATTCTCACATCCTAATGTGGTTCGGAGGAAAGGAAGACCAAATGATTAGGGTCCAGGTTCATGATTCCCCCTGCATGGGCATCACACCACAGAGAGAAATGAAATGCAAAGCTCAGAGACAACAAGAATATCGTTGCCGTCTAAGAGAAGCCTGCCTTTTATTTCCAAGTTGAAGTAAGTTATATGGGCTATCGTATAGAAATGGAAAAAGTAGGTACTCGATCTCAACTGAGGAAAACTGTCCCATTGGCTTCCAGGGCAAGGAATACTTACCTGAGAAAATGAAGAGGCCATTTCCATTGGACTGAACCGTCTCCCCCCTTCCCAAATTCATTTCCTATGTCCATCTTCCTAATCTGCCTCAATAGTAGCTGAGCTCAGTATTCACTAAATGGAAAAACTCTATATACAGAGCTCATCAATTAGTTTTGTATTTTGATCGTCTAGGACGGGTGCTGGAAATCCACAGCCTGTGTGCCAAATCCAGCCCATTACCTGATTTCGTAAATCAAGCCTCACTGGGGCACAGACTCGTTAATTTATGTACTGCTTACGGATGCTCCACGTTCTGCAACGGCAGACCCAAGTTGTGGTAACAGACTAATGGGACACAAAGCCAAAGATACTTACTATCTGGCCCATTACAGAAAAAGCTTGCCAGTCTTGGTCTAGAATGTCACAGCCCACATTCTACAGAGCAGAGATTATTGATCCTATGGGGTCTATAAACTGGACTCCATTCCCTTTCCCTCAACAAAAAATGTTTGCAAAACTATGTGTTCCGTGTACCATGTGCATTTTCCTAGGGAAAAGGTCCTAGCTTTCAACAGATTCCTAAAGAAATCCAGAGTACCCCAATTAAAGCCAAAGAAAACCAAAGAGTATCTTTAGCTGCCAGCATATTTAACAGTGCTAAAACACACACACACACACACACACACACACGCACACAGCCCTAGACAAGAGGAACACAGACCTTCTCCAATAAAATATCTTTTTTTTTTTTCCTATTCTAATAGGGTTTGTTTGGCAGTTTCTTTGCCCTAGATTTTACTCTGGCAATTTTCCATCTGAATATGTAAATTTTCAGGGGTCCAAAAATCTGCACCTTCTACTTGCTAATTCAATAAAAACGGAAGATTGCTTTAAGCCAGGAAATTGCCCTCTAAGCCATAGACAGACACTAAGACAAAATCCCCAGCACAATAGAGGTTTAATTCATTTTACTCGATCTGACCACCAACTCCAGTGAATTCTATGAATATATGAATCTTCCCTTCAAGGTCGGAGGCAGTCACGTGGCCAGAAAAGCATTGGGGCGGAAAGTCAGGGACTAAGTAAGCCATGTACTTCACTTTCAGGCTGAAGATAAAGCGTTTCATTAGACAACTTTGGAAGAAACAGAGTAGTTTCTCTCAGCAGAGCTGATAAAGGCTGTTGGTCAGCAGAGGCATTTTTAGTGTTAAAAACTGTGAAAACATTAGCCCCTCTCTGTCTCCTTTGTCATCACTTTCCAAAGACACTAAATCAAGTGCTCTTGGAGAAACCAGGAGCCCCTTTAGTCTCAGCGCTGGCTTCCTCGAATGCTGAGGCTAATGAGTATCTCATGTCCCTAACTAGGACATCCGACGTGGCAGAAGTGACCAACAGCAAAGGAAGGTAGGACCACCATTAAAAAGCTAACCAACCAGAGGCGAGCAAAAACAATAATAATCATGATACACAACGAGTGAAGTTAAGATAGAGGATCGAGTAACCTGAGTGTACGTACAGGAGACTTCCAACTTCCAACAACTTAAATATGGTTTGTGTATCTCCATTTTTATTTTAAAATTAGTTTAGAACTTGTAACAGTTCTCAAAAAAAAAAAACACCCCACATTCTAGAATTTAGACTCATAAGACTATCAAGCCATTCTACGTTAGCACAGAAGACATCTAATCACCATGGAGCACATCATTTCTATGGGGAAAATGTATCCCAAGGTTCAAATCAGTATTCCGGGAACGTGCCGTCTCTTGAGAAATTGTAGGTCAATTCTCTCTTTCAAAGGTACTAGACCAGTGTCCTCGACCGTGTTGCGCATCAGAATCACAAACGGTGTGTGAGAAAGACCAGTTCTCAGGCCCCACCCTGGACCTTGGCATTGGTAGTGTTCACCAGCTCCCAGCGATTCCAGTGTGCATGAGACTGAGAACCATTGATGAACTCCTCCTCTACCTCTGTATGATTGTTTTGGAAGCTGAGGCCCTGGGCCCACACACTAGAGAGGCATACACAGGTGAACGAACACACCGGTTAAGACTATTTCTAAGCAGAAACCACACTGAACAGCAGGTAAGAGTCTCTGACTCCGAGCAAAAAGATGTTTTCCTTTATGTATTTCACCAAAAACTGTCATGGAATGACCTCCGATTTTTTTCTACTACTTGCTTTTTTTCATAAGATGGATGAAGGAAGGAAGGAATACGGTTGTGTGTGTGTGTGTGTGTGTTTTTTTTCTCTTGATCTCAAAGAGAGAAACTGCCAGATTTAGGAAGGTGGGTGGGAGAGTGAATGGCCGTAATTAGTAGGATAACACACCTTTTCTGGCTGGAAAAAGATGAGGACAGAGGTAGCTTTCAAGAAGATGAAACTACATTTGATCAACTGGATACAAAGAAGTGTATGGAAGTACCACACTCACTCGGAGCAACTGCTATGAGTAAAACAGAGGTCAAGGGGAAAACACGGACACAGAAAAATAAGAAAGAGCACTTCAAAATCTAAAAGGGGAAGAGGGGAGGATTTTAGGGAGCAGTAAGTCCCATATCTGTGAACTTGAGGCAAAGAAAGAAACAGTGAGTTCCCTTCTTCGTGTTTAATGTGAATTCTCCATCCTTGTCCTCCAAGAATAGGCTTATATCAACCCAATGTCCAAAAGCAATGTTTCTTTGTTATTATCGGTCTTCAATTTCCCTGTATCACTTCACTCCTTTTTCAAGGAATCTAGAGAACGCAGGGGCATATTTAGCCCTGAGAAAGGGCTTTCGTTGTGTTGTCCACCTGCCAGGGACCCACAAGGGCACCAGCCTCCTCCAGCCAAAAGAGCTACTGTGTGCTGCTGGAGAAAAATGGGCCTCACCTCAACCTGTGGAAATCTGGCAATCTATTCCAAGGAACGAATTCAACCCTCCCCATTAACCCCTCACCTTATCAAAGAACTTTCATCGTCTCCTATTGCAGCCCTCCCATTAACAGTAAGGCTTCTTTACTGAACAAGAAATAAAAAAGAAGAAGGAAGCAAAAGGGTATGTGAAGGATTGCCACAAAGGCAATCCTTGGGGCTTACATATCATAAGGAGGGGCAGAAGCAGAAGAAGGCACCGATTCTCTGTGTGGTTCGACATGATATCTCCTCTCAGAATTGACACACGTCCTCTTTACTAGATAGAGATGTTCACAGAAGCCACTTGGCAGAGCTTGTGACTTATCAAATACACACACACACACACACAGAAGGAGAGACAGGTGATATAAAATCGCATTACGAATCACATTCCATTAATACCACAAATGCCAAGAGAACCAAATTCGTGACTCTGAGATCAAAGTGATTTTATGTTTTCCAAAGTTAGGAAAAGGGTATGACCGGGATGGCTCGCCACTTCCCCTGAAATATTGTGGTTATGACCCAGGAGTTGAGCAGAAATCCGAGGATGTGGCAAGTGGCCACCACAGCTGGAACAGGTAGGTTACAATACTCTTAAAGATGCATATTAAATAATTTCTTCTGGACCACAGACACGATTGAACTGAAAAAATAAAAGCCCTATAAATATTGCCAACCCAACCTTGTCTTTTGTATCTCCCTCCTTGCATAAAATAGCATCTTTGCAACCAAGCGCTGAAACATAAATATTAAAATAATAAGTGGGACAAACTACAGATCTACTTACAATTTCATCACTATGGTAGCACCTTGTGACCAGGGCCAATGCATTCGTTTCATAAAGAACAAGAGAAGTCTGAGAAGCTTAAGGACTCATATGACACCTCATTAAATATTTAATCACCCTTTTAAGTCCTAAGCCTTTGTCATATTTCATCCATCTAGACAGTTCATTCTATACTAGAGATTCCAAGGCCCCCTTTGGAGGGGAAAAAAAAAAAAAAAGAAAGAAAATGGGGAGAGAAAAAAAAACCTTCTGAGAGGCAGGATTAAATTATCTCAAAGATGAGTTTCTATTGGCGCTTTTGTGAACCTCTTCACCCTGTAAACCCACCAATCCACAGGAGGGCCAACCGACTGAGTCCACGGTACTTAGTCTCCAAGAATCAGTTTTACAAAAGATGCCACGTCTGTTGCTTTGGATTCATGTAGGGTGAAAAATGGATGTTGCTGGGAAAGAAAAGAAAAACACATATTAATAAATATTGGCCACCGACAATATAGGAGATTCACAGATGTGTTTGGTCAACAGATTCAAATAACCCCTATCAGGGTTAAACTGGACTCTTCCTACCTCTTCCCAAATCAAGTACACATCCAGTGATGTGGGCCTTCTAAAGATACCTTTTATCTTGTATTGTACCCCTCCCAAGTTGATATCTGTTTCCATGACAGAGTATCTATTGCTTTATGAAATAAATCTGTAATCAGGATACCTAAATCCCACCTGTGGTGAAATACAAGGATTTGGGCAAAGATGGCCCAAACTCTGATTTACCCATAACCTTGTCCCCTACAAAGTAATTTTAGATTGATACAGGAAAATAATGAGAAATCTCATAGATTTGCGCACATCGATTTCTCAGGAAATGAATGGTAGAATGAGAATCCAACTGGGTAGCACAGCAAATGAGCAACGTAGTGCTTTCCCCGGACTCTGGAGAGCTAGTTTGGACTGAAAGAGTTAACAAAGCCACTCTCTAAGCCACATTGACAGCCATGAGTTATACTTATGTCTATCTTGATGAAGAGTTGATCCATCTGGAAAATAATGTCGACTGCCAAACTCTAGGTATGTGCAGGGAAACTCAACTTGGAGATTAAAGATTGAAAAGCAAAAAGAAAAAGAAAAAGAAAAGAAAAGAAATGGTCTCTATTCACACAGCTTTCAGATTAAGCAAGCTTTACAAAAACGCCAGGGCTAGCAATCTGCTGGGGAAATAGGCATAGTGGGTCCAAGAGGCCACACATTCCAAAACAGTTCTGAAGAGAATGAAACATTTTTCTCTGCACCAGTACAACCCTCCCCGAAAGGCTCAATTTTGTTACCGTAAGTTCCCGGCTGTCACCCTGGAACCTCACACCTCTAATTAAAAGGATACATCAGCTGATGAACCACAGTGCTCACAGTGGAAACAGAATCAAACCAACAAACCAAAAAGGACGATTCCTTCTGATAGAACCCAGTGCCATGTACCGCCCCCCCCACCACCACCACCAGTCACGGCCACCTCCCTGACTGTCTGGTGGCATTATTTTCAGCGACTAGGTTGAGAAGCTAAATAGGAACGTTTTTGCATGCAGACATGTAGATGACTCACTCCATTTCCCCCTGCCATTGGGGATGTTAGTTTATAACCTTCATGTTGCCTAGCTGTAGGTTTTCTAATTATATTTGTTTTAGACCTGACAGCACAGGGCTACATGAGTCAGCTCTGTGGGGAACTGAATGCCCACCCGTGGAAGTTTTAGGAAACAATGCAAATGGGAAAGGAACAAAGAAATAAAACCCAAATGAAGGTAGGTGGTCACTGGTAAGTGTCGTGACTCAAAAAAATGATAAAGAGGCTTTCTGCTCTGGCCCATCTGGAAGATACAGGTTGGGTGTTGGCTCACAGACTCATGCCCACCGTATTCACTGAAGATGCCGGGTCCTTCACCCTGAGCTCCTTGTACAAATAAACAGCAGCGTTACTTCTGATTACTAAGCTCTTACACAGCACACTTACCAAGTACTTTACCATCATGCTCATTAGCTTTCCCACATCCTCTTGACATCTGGTGATCTTTCAATGTACTTAAAAGTTTTTACTAACAAAATAGGACATGTCAAACCTCAGATTGTCTCAATGACTACTTTCGATGCCTGCCAACCCCATCTTGCCTCTGGTTCTGCTCTGGCTCTTAGCTCAGTGAATGTAGCCTTAGTCTGTGAATGAATCAAATAACCTGATCTAAAGTCTTTACAGAAAAAATCCGCAGGCATCTTTCAGTTTATTCTCTGGGTAAATGCTGTGAGAGGCAGAAGGCAGGGGGCGGAGGGGAGAGCAGGCAGGCATATCAAAATGGAAAGTGTGAGTCGCCTTCTTGTGTGGGTTTTGAGACTGTAAAAGGTTGGGAGGGAACCCAGTCCCCTCTATAAGCAATGGACTAAGAATAGCAAGGCCAACAACTGGGAGGCGATCAAATGAGGCACCATGGATTCATCCCCAGGCTAGGTTTCTCAAAAAAGGAGCCAGGTACAGGAAGGGAGGACATTACCAACAGTCGTGCCTCGAGAAAACATGGAGATCCAAGAACACACCACCAGGAACATCAGGGCAAGCCCCAAGTACCAATGGTCGCCATATCTTCTACACAACACATCACCCCTTAAGACTATGACTTTCTAGGGGTTCAGTCATCCTTGCTTGACACTGTGATTCCATCTAGAACTTCCCAGATATTTGAAGAACATAATCACCTCACTGGGCAATCACTTGTATCACCTGATTATCATTTCTGGTGGTTATCATCTGGGACACGGGTCAACAATCAATGGTCCAGGGGCCAAGTCTATCCCACTGCCTATCTGTGAAATAAAGGTTTTTGGAACACAGCCCCACCATCTGTTTACGTATTGAATATGGCTGCTCTCTCACAGCAAACAAGAGAGTTGAATAGCCACCCACAAAGCCTAAAATATTTACTATCTAACCCTTTACAGAAAAAGTTGGCTGGTCCCCACTCTAGAGGAACACATCCTACTGAGTCATGTCCCCCAGTGGGAGTTTGAGAGAACAAGCAAATGAGATGATGTGAAAGCATGTATACCCCTCAATCCAAGTTGGGGGTGAGGGGAGCAGTTGAGATTTCTAGAAGAGGTACACATCTGGGTTGGGGCCTTAATTATACCGCCCTTCACCTGGAAAAAAGGATTTTTTTTTTCCCCTTTCTTCACCAACTCCTACAATTTAAACAATAGTCTCTCAGCAAGAGTTTTCCCAATGCTAAAGTCAAAGAGTTTGGACTCAGATTTTCCACTTAAAAACCTCAATTCCACAGGAAAGCAGAGAGCAGTTATAGCCTTAGAAGGCAAGTCCATTTCCAGTACCACACAGACTAGTGTCGTAAAAAGAAGTGGGGGGAGGGGGATGCACATGATTTTGTAACATTAATATGTAGACCGTAAAAGACCACAGCATTAGAACATACTGGAAAGTGGAATGCAACATCAGTTGCCCGTGTATACTAAGCTAGAACTCAGCACTTTTTTTCTCAAGTATGTTCCTTTGAAACCTCTGATTAGAGGTCACTTGGAAGGAAATAAAAATGTTCTGCATTTTAAATAGCCAGAAATATATAGAAAATGCTCTTTTATCTGAAAATAGGGACAAACAAGGCAAGTTTACAGTAGGACCATGTCCATTGCACTTGATGTGAAATTAATTTTAAAATGCTCTACGGGTTACATGAGCATACCCAAAAAGGGTAGCTGAGATTAAAAGGCCCCTGACTGGCTATTAAAAACATAATCAGGGAGGTAAAAAAATACACACACACACACATTCAGGAGGAAATGTTCAACCCAAACATGTGGTATGCTGAGATTTTCTCAAGCATTATGCCTTTTCTCCCTCAACTGTGGGTCTTGATCAAACACAGCCAACAGAACACTGAGTCCCAGGGGATGCCTTTTCAAAGGGGACAATTAGGAGCCAAGGAGACCACCTTGTCTATCCTAAGACTCTCCCCAGCGTTCCTTTACAGTCCCCCAATTGAAGAATGGTTCAGACTTAAATCAAAACTTAACCAACAGACCCGAAAATCCATGTGATTGGCTGTGACTATCACCTATTGTACAGATCAGCTTTCTGTAACTCTTCCTGGCTTGAAATCTCCAGGCTGTACTCTCTCTTCTTTTCTCCAGCTTTACTGAAATATACTTGATATATAACATTGTGTAAGTTTAGATGTACGTGACTATTTGATACACTTCTATATTACGAAATAATTACCACAATAAGGTTAGCAAACACATCCTTCACCTCACACGCTTACCATTCTTCTTCTGTAATAAGAACCTTTAAGATCTACTCTCCTAGCAACTTCCAAGTATGCAATACATTATTATTAACTATAGCACCATGCTATACACATTCTATCCATGGTGTCGCCAAAGGCAGGCTTTCTCTCTTTTTTATGGCTGAATAATATTCCATTGTATGTGTATGTGTGTATCACATTTTCTTCATCCATTCATGCACTGATGGGCACTTACATCGTTTCTATGTCTTTGCTATTATAAATAACACTGCCATGAACATGCCGATGTGGATACCCTCTTAAGATAGTGATTCCATCTCCTTCAGATATATACCCAGAAGTGGGATGGCTGGATCATATGGTATTTCTATTTTTAATTTTTTTGAGGAACCCCCATACTGTTTTCTATGCTGTCTGTACCAATTTGCACTCCCAACAACAGTGCACAAGGGTTCTCTTTTCTCTACATTCACACCAACACTTGTTATCTCTTGTCTTTTTGATGACGGTCATTCTAACAGGTGTGAGGTGATATCTCATTGTGGTTTTGATTTGCATTTCCCTGATGACTAGTGATGACAAGCACCTCTTCACGTACTTGTTGGCAAAAATCAATGGGATTACATCAAACTAAAAAGCTTCTGCACAGCTAAAGAGATGATCAATGAAATGAAATGTCAACCTACAAAATGGGAGAAAATATTTGCAAACCACGTATCTGATAAGGGGTTAATATCCAAAATATATTTTTAAAAAACTCATACAACTCAAGAGCAAAAAAAAAAAAAAAAATCTCATTTTTTTAAATGGGCAAAGGACCTCAAAAGACATTTTTCTGGGCGCCTGGGTGGCTCAGTCAGTTAAGCGACTGCCTTCGGCTCAGGTCATGATCTCGGGTCCTGGGATCGAGTCCCGCATCGGGCTCCCTGCTCGGCGGGAAGCCTGCTTCTCCCTCTCCCACTCCCCTTGCTTGTGTTCCCTCTCTCGCTGTGTCTCTCTCTGTCAAATAAATAAATAAAATCTTTAAAAAAGAAAAAAAGACATTTTTCCAAAGAAGATATATAAATAGCCAATTATCTATTTGTAGATAGTATATGTCACATAAATACTTTTTCCATGTCAGAGCCACCTCACCACACCATTTGTTAAAAGATCTCAGGAACCTAGAAGGACTAGGACCTGCCTTAAGCGGGTCTTAAAGACTGAGCGCTACTTGTCTTGGGGTGGGACAGAAGCAAGCATTTAATGCCTGCTGAACACCTGTGCTCCAGGAATAAATGTCAATCTCTGCCCTTATCTCTACTGAACAAAACTCTTCCTTCCCCTGATAAAATTAAAAACTTGATAACTGGGGTGCCTAGGTGGCTCAGTCGGTTGGGCGACTGCCTTCGGCTCAGGTCAGGATCCTGAAGTCCCGGGATCGAGTCCCACGTCGGGCTCCCTGCTCGGCAGGGAGTCTGCTTCTCCCTCTGACCCTCCTCCCTCTCATGCTCTCTGTCTCTCATTGTCTCTCTCGCAAATAAATAAAATCTTAAAAAAAAAAAAAAACAACTTGATAACTGAAACAAATCTAAGGAATGGTTAATGCAAATTAGTAAGTAGTTACAATTTTATCATATTTCCCCCCAATATGTGTTTCAACATATACTTCGATAAAAGTTTCCAAGTTTTGCCCCTGCCATCTACACTAAAGAATCATTTGGAATTAGCTTAAAATTGTAGTTACAACAATGTAAGAGAAACTATTTTAAAACAACTCTTCTGAGGTCTTATTTTCACTCTTTTTCTTTAGAGATAGTACAAACAGTAAGCTGTGAATGCAGAGCTAATATAATTCAAACTGATAACGCTTGGTCTTACTTTTTTCCACTAGCGTGAAAACCAAAAGGAGAAAACAGTCTTTCCTCCCTAAACACCCATCAAAAAGCAGCCTGTCCAAAGAATCCTAAATATTTTATCAAAAATATCTGTGTTTTCCTCATTGCTGAAATCCTTTAAATCCTGCTTTCCCTCATTTATATTAGCAATTGATGACTCTTGATATCTTGAGAACCTGAAAATGTAAATTTTGGGGCGCCTGGGTGGCTCAGTCATTAAGTGTCTGCCTTCGGCTCGGGTCATGATCCCAGGGTCCTGGGATTGAGCCCCACGTTGGGCTCCCTGCTCAGCAGGAAGCCTGTTTCTCCCTCTCCCACTCCCCCTTCTTGTGTTCCCTCTCTCACTATATCTCTCTGTCAAATAAATAAATAAAATCTTAAAAAAAAAAAGAAAATGTAAATTTTATCGGCATCATTTAGTCCATATGATGACAAGATTACCAAAATGGAAAAAGTTGCTAAGAAAGGTGACCTGCCTCCGGTCATACTAAAGAAGGACTTAGGACACGTGAAGGATTTAGAACACACTCTTTTTTTGCTTGAATTCACTTCCGGTCACCAACGTCTCAATGAACCAGCTCTCCTGATACAGTTGTTTGATTATAATTTAGGTCTTAGTCACTTTACCTTTTTACTAGCTGTTGGTTTGGACAGGTTTACACTGCTAACAATACGTACCATAAGTTCTGGATATGTTGGCCGTTCTTTGGAATTCTTCTTCAAGCTTAAAGAAAAAAAAATTAATCACATTAAAATCTAGGATTTCAATCTGTATTTTCACCAGACTAGGATTTCAGAATCTGCAGAGACTAAACATAACCAGCTTTAAAATGTATTGAATACATGAATCTCCTGTCCTGACTCCCCTCTTCTGTTACACATAAAATTATGTTTTAAATCACTCTAGGTATATCTTCATAGGAAGCATAGGGGTGGTGTATGTGTGTGTGTGTGTGTTTACTTTCCTTTTGATACTTTGCCAATGACATACAAACTAGTTTTTCTGATCTACAGCCATCACATTCCAAAACACGTATCTACTTTCCTTCAAAACAATTTTTCAGGGAGCCTCGGTGGCTCAGTCGTGAAGCGTCTGCCTTCGGCTCAGGTCATGATCCCAGGGTCCTGGGATCGAGCCCCACGTTTGGCTCCCTGCTCGGGGAGAAGGCTGCTTCTCCCTCTCCTGCTCCCCCTGCTTGTGTTCCCTCTCTCGCTATCTCTGTCAAATAAATAAAATCTTTAAAAAAAAACACAAACAGTTTTTCTTCCACCCCCACTGGCAAAGAAATTCGCAGGTGTTTCTTACATTACATGTTATCTCTTCACTATCTTCGATACCTGGTTCTCCTTGCTTCCTATTCCCTTGAATGTATAATCTGCTTTTATAGACTCCTAACCAAACCCACCTGAGATAGAAGCAACATCCCGGTAAAATGTCTAAAGTAATGCTACTTGTTTACAACCTCCTGGCTAATGAAAACGAATGCACACTCAGCTAGTGACTTCGCAACGATTCTTCTTAGAAATTCTTTGTGGTCACACGCTACTGTCGAGTGCCTCCCATTCTGTATACCCAACTATCTGTATACACAAATGTTTTAATGATGTTTGATACCAGAGGCAACAGTAAAAAAAGAGCATTAAGAAGAGACCAGCCCTTGGGGCGCCTGGGTGGCTCAGTTGGTTAAGCGACTGCCTTCGGCTCAGGTCATGATCCTGAAGTCTCGGGATCGAGTCCCGCATCGGACTCCCTGCTCAGCAGGGAGTCTGCTTCTCCCTCTGATTCTCCTCCCTCTCATGTTCTCTCTCTTTGTCTCATTCTCTCTCTCAAATAAATAAAATTTAAAAAAAAAAAAAAAAAAGAAGAGACCAGCCCCTCACCTCTATCCTCAGCCCACCCCTGTATCCACCCGTGGCCTTAAAATGGAAAAAAAGAAAATAAGTGGTTTATTGGGAGTTGGAACCCCAGGTTACAGAATGAAGAGAAGGATGGTTCTGAAAACTGTGGTTTGCAAGGCAACCTAGACACCCCTCTGCCCACCGGGCCACTGAATCCCACATGATGGAAAGGAACGCAGCCTGGCATTGAAGAAACCAAAATGTGACTGATCATTAGGGTTGCTGGGATTTGTGCCAATGGATCCTTTTGAGCAAATGAGACCTAGTATGTGTGGCATGAGCTCGGCTCCACCCCCATGGGCTAATAATAATGAGGAGAGGGGTCAAGGTATGGAGCCATAAGAGAGTGAAGTAGTTGAGACGCTTTGAGAAAGTGTGGTATAAAACAAAACGAAATGAAAAAAAAAAAAAGAGAGAGAGAGAGAGAAAGCTTTTGAACCAAAACAACTTAAAGCAGCCTACCAGTTTATTCCAGGCAATGCTGTGGGTAGAAGCCAGGGAACCTGAGACAGGGTACAGTAGATGTGAGGAGAGAAGTTTTCAACCTGGAACTGAGGGCAGATCTAGGACCTAGTGACCTCAGTGACCAGACAACCTATGAGAGAAAGTTTCGTCTCAACTGAGGATAAAAATAAGAGTGAATTAGAAAGAGGAATTATCAACTGTCAAAGTCAGATTGATAATGGGAAGGTGTGCTTGAGTGAAATGAATGAGATCTTGGAAGTCCCACTTAGGACTCTGCACATAACTATGGCCTGAGATTCTATAAGGCTTTTTTGATGGTTCTCAACTGCAGGTGATCTTGCCCTCCAGGTGATATCTGGCAATGTCTGGAGGTATCTTTGCTTGTTGATATACCCGGTGGTGCCTACCGGCATCTCCTAGGGGGAGGCTTGGGATATTGCTAAACATCCTATAACACACAGCACAGTTGCCCACAACAAAGAATGATCCAGTCCCAAAAGTTATGAGTGCTGAGGTTGCAAACCCCTTGGGCCACTCGGACGAGGGTATTCCTCCTCATTGCTGCCTTCTATGCCCTGCTCGGAAATGAAATTCACTTAGAAGCACCTCCCGCTGATTCGTCTGTCATTTGCGCACATTCTCAATCAACACTACCAGCTCTCTCTCCCTGAACCCTGGGAAGCAGAAGTTTTCTTTCTAAGTTCAAGAGCTAGTTCACCTAGAAGGAAACAGAGAAGAAGAAATGTGATCCCAGGAGTAATGCTGACTCGCACACAGGCTGTAGTGAAGAAAATAAGCAGGCTAACGTACAAAAGCCCTGAGTTTTCAGCTATTGTTCAAAGCCAGTCAAAAACCAGAAAGTCTTCTCCATAATCTGAACAATTTAACTTGCTAGAAGCAATCATGAAAAACATAGACGCCACCTTAAATCCACACTCACTAGTTACGTGCTTGATTTCAGGTGTCTCTACTTAGACGGGCGCCTTAGGGAGTCCTCGGACCAGGGCTGAGCATCGACTCCACTAACATTCATTCTCCTTGAGGACCATGACCCACCCTTCCATTACTAGCTTCCACTGGTCAGCGACCAAACCAAGGGGATGACAGGAAAAGAGGCTTCTTCCTCAGACATTAGCACCCTGGCCTCTTTTACCAACCAGAGATCTTTGTGATGTTTGCTGATTTTTGAACTTCTATTTAGTCGATAATGAAAGAAGACTCTCGTCTCATCAGGTTGAGGAATGTAAGCACTTCCTTTTTATAAGGAGAGATCATTTTAAGTCAGGATAGCTTATCTTTTCACTTCTGGAACAGTTTAAGAAAATTTCTCTGGAGTTCTTTTTTTTTTTTTTTGTCTGTATAAAGAAAATGTGGGGAAAGCACCCCAAGTTGATGCATCAGAAAATGTTTCGAATTCCTGAAACCTCAGGGCTTGCTGGCCGATAGGCTTTCTTCACTTACGGCCTCTGATTAGAAGGCTCAAAATTTACCACAAGCACTGCTGCAGAGCATTCATGGAAAATACTTACACAGCAATCCAAGGCTGTTTACTGAATTAATATAACTGATAAAGCCCATTCTCTCCATCTTTTTAAATTGAGAACACTTCAAAACATCGGCTAAGAATAACAAAATACTCAGGATAAGGTTGGGGGGGGTGGAAAGCCAATTTTCCATGTTTGATAGGAAGTGCTTGAAATTCAGGATAAAATAACAACCGTGGAGTTCAAAGCTACACCAATTTCTTTTTGGATTGGAGTCAGACTTTTGAATTTTCAAGTGGCTTGTCATTTTCAAGCATGCAATTAGCTAACTGCTCTAATTCCTCTTCCAAATGCCACAACACACGCTTCTGACCGTAGCTGACACTAAAAAACAGCTTCATGCTGTCTTGAGAATTGCTAGCTTGAAGTTTGTGCTGACCAGAGGATTTCTGCCTATTTGAATTCCCCCTGATGGCTTCCAAGACGGGTTATTTGGTGCATCCACAGAATAAAAACACGTTGCGCCTCTCAAGCCCATACATTTGTCATAAGCTAAATAAACATCCAGTGCCTCTGTTTACTCTCCTTCCTGAACAAGTCGAGAACTGTATTTGATTGTCTCTGTATTATGTTTGTTCCTCTGAGTCACTATCAACGTCTGAGGGGACTCCAACCCACTCCAACGTGCCATCAGGCTGGTCAGCTGGGCACTGAGCCTCTCAAATAGGCCTGAAGGAAAAGCAAAAAAGAAATCAGGCTGTTTGGGCACACGGTAGTTGGGTTTCCAGAGACTTCCTTCAGTCACCAAGCCTGTGAACCTACAGGAAGAGGTTCTAGAGAGAAGCATAAGCCTGCCACGATTCCCTTTTTCCTGTTTAGATACTCCTTTGTTCATCCTCTATTGGACTAGAATGTAAGGCTTTTCTACGAGACTTCTCAGTTATGAATCCCAAAACAAGGCCTTTATGGACAGCACCACCTACTCTAGGAACACTTCAAAACCCCTGTGATAAGAAAACAAAAAAAAAGAGGAGGAAATGTCATTCCACTGTAGTCCTATTTCAAAATAAGTACAGAAGGGAAGGGTTGGTAGGATATCATTGGTTTTTCTTTAAAGTCCATAAGGCATAAATGCCTTAACTTGCTTTCCTCCTACCCACCCCCCATCCTCCCCCCCCCACCCCGAGGACACTGTCTCTCTGAAGCTACTACGAAAGAACACATCAGCTGGGGCTCCGCACTCTAGAGGTAACTTTGGGTATGAGAGTGAGAGCCTGCTAGTGCTTTCTACTCCCCCCCCACAGATCAGGATTACAGTCAACTCACAAACAGTGATCAGAGGAGACTGAAAGCCAAGTGGACTCCCTGGATAAGGCCGTGCAGTGTGGAGCGGCACCAGGAGGGAGGGGGGTCATCAAACGCTTACTTAGCATGCATCCCAGGAAAGGTCACAAATCCTCTGACAATGACTAAGGCTGTGGATAATGCAACCTTTCTCCTTTAGTTCGACAATCCGCCCAAAGACAGAGGTAGGAGATAAAACCACCCATGTATCTATCTTGAAATTCGGGATTCATCTTTCACTTTCCAAATCTGTATTCCCCTTTCCCCACTTAACCACAAAAATAGGGGCTTTCTGAGAAGTCTTGAAGGATCAGAGCCTGACTATGCCATGAAAATTCAAAGAACACGTGGAGGTCACTCCAAAAAGGGTCCTCTCATGAATGGGTATCTCAAATCCGGCTGCGTACATGGGAAAAATGGAGGAACAGCGATAAAAGAGAGCCTTTTCTTCATCAAGAAATAGAAGAGGGTGTTCTTAGGTGGTCACTTTTGCACCCTTTCCATCCACTCAGCTCCAGATCAAACTTAAAACCATCAGTAATAAAACAAACGAAATAACTACCTTGCTCCTGGAAGTAGGTGTGCATTGGTAAGCTAGCACACAGGAAAAATGAAATCGCTTCCGTCAAGATCTAAGCCATTCATAAAATCCTTTTTGAAAAATCAGCACTGTTGGGCGCCTGGGTGGCTCAGTTGGTTAGGCAACTGCCTTCGGCTCAGGTCATGATCCTGGAGTCCCAGGATCGAGTCCCGCATCGGGCTCCCTGCTCGGCGGGGAGTCTGCTTCTCCCTCTGACCCTCCCTCCTCTCATGCTCTCTCTCTCTCTCAAATAAATAAATAAAATCTTTAAAAAAAAAAAATCAGCACTGTGTTTTTGAAGCATTAGACAACTTTTCCAACTCAGTGGACTTTAAAACACAGTTCATAGTAAGGGGGTATCAAAAAATACATATATCGGTAATTTATGGGAGGCAAAAAGCTATTATTGATCTGCCATCTGAAATAGGAGAGCTCGTACTCTTAAAAAAAAAATCCAAGAGAGGATCATCAAGAATGCTGATAAATTCAGAATTAATGCTCCTCTTCTTCTTTCCAATTCTCCTACCAACAAAAACGACTCACTATTTTACACAGTGGATACTCTTAAATGTCAGATTCTACAGGAACTACAACACGGAAAGTTTGAATAATTATTCTTGGAAAACTTCAAAGTTTAGATGATTTGAGTTTTGTTTCTATTGTTATATATATAATATATATAATATATAAGTACAAATATATATATATAAATATATATTTTGGTAAACCCCATAAACAAGCCAGACTGGCTGGCATGATTATGAGTAAAATGACACAGAATTAATAGCAATTAACAGAATTAATGGTTTCAGGAAAGCTAGAAAATATCTATGGCTCAAAGTTTTTAAGTTAATGAACCTTGGTAGCTGGGACAAAAACTGACAGAAAACAAGAGGGGAACAGAGAGGCCTCTGAGGTCTCTGAAGATGTTGGCAGTGTTCTGGAAGGTGGAGCATAGGCACAGGGTGGTAGCCATACAAAGAGCAATAATAAAGTATCTGGATTGTCCACATATGTGTGCATACGTTAAAATTAGAAAGCATTATTTCTCAAGGTTTTCATTTTTTAAATATCCCTAAAAAGCTTTATTGTTCTGAATCTTTAGGGGAGATTCTAAGTAAGAGGAAAAAAATACACTGGGGAAAGAAAAAGTAATTGCGTGATTTTTAAAAAATAGATTACAGAAGAAAAATGGGTTTTGAAAAGGAAGCAGTTGATATCAAGTCCACAGACCATAGGGCAAAATTAGGGGTTCTCACCCCAGGTGTACAGTAGCATGATTTGAGAACATTTGAAAAATACTGATATTCGGGACCCTTCCCAGATCCATTAAGTCAGAATGTCTGAGGGTGTGGCCCAAGCGACAGTACATCTGAAAGTCCTTTGGAGATTTATAGACGAACAGCCAGAGTTGACAACTATTGGAGTAAACTGGCGATTCTCAATAGGGCAGCTCCGCTTTCTTAAGCTTTTCAGCCTTGTTCTTACCAAGTTTTCCAAAGTACCCAGCCAGAATCCCGGGGAAAGGGGAACAGGCAGGAGAAAGGTTCTAGGGAGGAGAGTTTGACAAGACTTCCCTAGATAAGATCCTTCCCCTTTACCACTCCTCTTGAGAACTACTGGTCTGAACTATCCAAGATGACTCACCCCTTTTCCTATGTGACCTTTAAACATCTGAGGATAAGGAAAAAGAAAAAAACAAACAAACAAACAAAAAAAACAAATACACAATAAAAACAAGTTCTTGAATCCAGAAGGCAAAATCATGAGCCCATCTCAACCTGACTGGTGGGCTACCGCATCCAGCACGTTCGCTCAAGGAAAGCAGAGGGGAGGACACACCTCAGTAGCCCAGAACAAGTGTCCCATCAGAGGCGCCCAACAACACACTGTCCTCCAGCCCACAGCTCCAGCCCCTCTCTAGCCATTTGGCCAAAACTAAAACAAAACCAAGCCACAGCAGGCCAGCCTCATACATCATCAGGGCAAAATACCAGGGGTGACATGGGGACCAGGGCTAACAAAAAGTCCAAGAGGCCTTAGTTTCACAAACAACAGACAGTTGCTTTGTCTCGTCATGTTTCCCAATAAAAGCTGCATTCAGAACACTTCTTCCAAAGAGCACAGAGGCCAAGGAATGATAACCTTGAGGAGCTGCGCTGTCAAATGGCCCTCAGAGGCCCAGCTCTTTCATCAGCAGGGAGCGGCCAGGATCCCTCCCCTCCCGGGGTCACAGCGGGGCTGGGCGCTATCTGCTTCTGCAGGGTGCCCATATAGACGAAAGCCATTTTGTGCTTTCCTTTTGGTGTCGTCTTCCAGGAACACTTGCGATGGTCCTTAGTATCAGGTTACGCCAGGCAATACGGTCACCATGCATGCCCTCTCCTACTTTCCTCGATTCCCCTGACAATTTCCACGAAAACAAAGTCTACATTATTAGCATGACTCCTTCCATTTTTCCACTCCAGCTTTCCTTAGATTCCCTCCTCAGACCCCCAGTACTGTCCATTGCACCCTCACGGGCAAGTGTATCCACAGTTAACAAGTGTTGTGTAGGGGACAGCCCACAAAACCTACAAAACACTAGAACGTCTTATCTACTCCACCACCCTAATCCTCCAACCGTCCAACCACTCTTCTCTTGATGTTCCAATCAACATCAAAAGAGCTTACAGCTCTCATCAAGGAGTTTCTCGCTCCTGTGACATGAAGCATGATCTTTTTTCTGCTTGGAGTATCTTTCCCTACCCTACCTCCCTGGTCGCTTGGAAAAATCCCTCATAGGACCTTCAGCATAGAATTTATCTCCTCCAGAAACTCTACCCTAATGCCTTTCCTCTGAGTTCCCCAAATACCCTGTGCATGGCTCCATCCCTGGACTTGCCATACGGTATCATAATCACAGATTGAAGAGACTCCCCTACTTGACTCTGAGTTCACTGAGGGCAGGGACTGGGATAAAGGCATCTTTGTATCTCCGGCATCGAGGGCACACTCCATAGATGCTTTTGGAATGAATGTATGCGTAATGGATCAAGACCCATGGAGGAAGTTCATGAGAACTCCTCTTCTTCCTTCACACTGGCATTTGGCAGAGGAGGCTTTCTTACCACTGTGAGGTAAAGTCAACAAACTCTTCGGAGAATTTATCCGCCGGGAGTTGTGGCGAGGGTTCCTCGACCACCTGTTTGAGCTGCTGGAAGGGGGTTCCCCAAGAGTCGTAGGGAAACCGAAGGATCGCCAACTCAATCTAGAGGGGAGAAAAACACAAGGGGACAACCGCTGAAACGGAACTACTTTAGGGCATCTGCTGGACTCTTCTGTTCCAGGAGAATCCGAGGGAAATACAGAGGTGAAGTTCAAGTAAAACTTGGGGAGACATAAACTAACAATATGTTCTCTACTCTTCCCCAGTTGCTAGTGCTAGGGAGTTTTGAACCTTATCTTACCGGAGGCAGCCAGTTAAGCTTATTTATAACTGGGTCCTCACCAAAAGCAACTGTGACACTTCATAAAATTGTAAGTCAGCAGTATCAAACTTCGGGATGGAAAGCAACCGGGTGTTTTCAATGTTTGGTCTGAAAAGTTATTCTCGCCCTGAGACTTTTTACAGAGCTGTGTATCTGCTGCCATCTGCAGGTCCCTTACTGGAATGAAAAAAAAAAAAACAAACCCTAGGACCAAATGACTGATCTTTTTTTGGATTTGAGGAAGGCCACTTTGCCATTACAAGATCATCACGTGTATTCTGGGCAGGGATGGGAAATAACGCACAGGATTTAATCAGCTGCTGTGCCTGGGAAGGAGCCAGGACCACAGTGGATAATTCCAGACCTCAGTGACACACTGAAAAAAAATGTATGTTCACCAAAGTTACAAAGGATAACTGTAGGGCTGTGCTGAAGGAAATTATCTTGTTTGTTACTATGTCCTTTGGCTGTATCTGACCTCAATGGCCAAGACCTCTATCAGAACCATATTCTGGGAAACACGGCCTATGTCCTGGATAACAGCTCAGTCAGGGTCCACACACATGAGCGCTCCTGGAGTAGCTTAAACTTCATGCCTAGATGAGAATAATTTAAAGCTATAGGCAGGATTCGTTTTACAGATGAGGATAGTAATACAGTGCATGGGACTCCATCAGTTTACTCAAGGGCCCACGCCCAGTTAGAGGTGGAATAAAGAGAAAAACTGGGTTTGCCCAATCCCAGTGCAGTCTTCCCACCACACGACCCTGCAGACAATCATCATTCAAAACCTCCTGCTCCGTCCGGCAGGAAAGGATGCTCAGGACCCACAGGTAGGGTGTTTGCTTTTTGGTCACAAAACCCACCCCATTTCAGCTTCATGCCCAGAACCTCACAGTCCAGAATGATCATCACACGTTACCATTGTGATGCCCAGACTCCAAATGTCAGACTTCACACTGTATCCCTTCTGATTGAGCTCTGGGTTTATTCTTTCAGGCTGCAAAGGAGACAGAAAAAGACAAATGAGATGACACTCTTAGCTCGATAAAGTCTCCGGGGGTGGGGGTGTTACCAGCTGCCAAGTGACTCGTTTTAAGCTTGTTAACATGCCTCCCAGGCCAAGAAAACTCACTAACTACAATAAATATCAACGCCTCCGTGGGATCTTCCTCATTCTTCAGGAGTCTTCTCTTGGAGACAAAAAGGGATCAAAGTCCCTCACGATTCAAAACTCATTAAAAAAAAAAACTAGTTTCAATTTTGCCTTAAGATGAAATAGGATACACAGTATAAAGTTACTTTGCCAGTCTAGAATTTTCCTTGTTAAGAACCCCAACAGTCCAGAATTCAATAGTAAGAATCCACAAGAGTCACCGGGCTACTGTCTGAGATTAGCTCAACACCAAGGGGAAGGTTCTCAACCCAAATGCAAATCTATTTCAAAACAGAATACAGAAGCCCCTTAATGTTAAAGGGGGTCCCAAGGTCTCTGCCAATGGCAGTGAATCTTCCCAGCCATGAGCATCTCTCATCTAATTGACTTGTTTGGGTCATTTAAATTGTTTACTCTTCCGTCCCCAACAAACAGGATAACACTCCCCGGCAACACAGGGTGAAAAATTTGTGTGGGCTGTATGTATTACTTATGTGTTTCTTTTTTTCAAGTAATAGACCTCCTTTACTCGAATTTTTAAAAAATAATATGTTTGAAGCAAGTGACTAAGGATTTCAGACAGAAAATACTTAAGAAAAAAATAAGATGCAGAATATTTCTTGCACCGTAAGCACATTTCCATTCTCCCTCTGTGGCCACCCATTTCCTATTTCCTGGTGAGGTTTGTGGGCGGCTGCATTCCCAGATGCCTCCCCTGGCTGCCGTACTTACGGCCATGTACGGTTTGCATCCTGCATCAATAGTTTTAGCAACAGAGTCTACAAGGTAGCCACTGATTCCAAAATCGCACATCTTTACTTGGCCCAGAGTGTTGATCAGCACGTTGGAAGGCTTGACGTCTGAAAGTAAGAACAACCAGGAGCCCGTGATCCCAGCCTGCTCTGAAGATTCATGTGTCCACCACCAGGGGGCCTGACATCTCACCTTCCCTGCTCTCTGAGGCCCTCCCTGACTCCCACTTACATGCATCTTACTGCTTCCAACTTGATTTTCTATTTCATGTTTTGTCCTTCTTGCAGGATTGTGACTCCATCAATAGGACTGTTTCCTCTATTTATCATCTGCATTGCCCCCATAAGTGTAGTAAAAACTTAAAAAAATTATTACTGAATCAAATGCCCTGTTCCTTGGGCATGCATAGTCTCGATGACGCAAAATGAGTAAGTTCTAGAAATCCACTGTACTACATTGACCCCATAATAAATAATACTGCATTGCACACTTAAAATTTGCCACGAGGGTAGATCTCATCGTAAGTGTTTTTATGACAACAAAATAATTTTTGTAAAGCCCAGCTCGTCATGACCTAATGCACAGTAAGGGTAGGAGTAAACAGACCGCGGAATGATAAGGCAGACTACAGTATAAACATACATCAAATCTGATCAAGGCAACCAGTTTCGATGGAAGCATCTGCAAGAGGTGTGTCTGAGGTCACATAGTGAAACTCATCAGGAATTCAGATATTCCAGACCACAAAGCATACCCCCAAAGAGATAATCATTGTCATCTCTGGATAATGGACTTAGAAATTACAGTTAACTTTTTTCCCTCGTGAGGCTTTTCACAAAGGACATGTAATCAGCAGAGTAAGTTATTCTAAAAACACTAAAAATCATCCTTTATAATGTTTTCCCTTAAACTGAATGGTAGACATGCAAATTTTATTATTTTTATACTCTAGGTATATATTTTGATACAAATAAAATACTTCCTAATTCTGAAATAAATCCTTAAAAATTAAGTTTCACATGTGTGGATAATCCACATTCTTCTTCCCATCTGGATTCTTTCCCATTTCCCTCCCCCTCTTCTTCCTCCCTGTTTTTCCAACTTCTAATAATCATAATTAATGATGATAATAACAGCAATAACAATAATAACAGGCACTCTGTGCAAAGCATTTTACATCACTTTGAGGTTGACTCAGACAGTTTAAGAATTACCAAATCTCACTACCCCACCAGCTATCCATACCTTCCACTAATTCTCCTTCAGACTTGGTTGAGTGAGTATCTTCTAAGAAGTTTTCCTTGACTATAGTCACCCAGTGCTAATCATTTCCTTGCTTTGGAGTTTACCTAAGCACTTCCACATTTGGTAATTTGGTATTTGTAATGTGGTTGATTTTTTCCATGTGTTTGTTGTACATTGGTCTTATTTCCCTATCAAGAATCCCTTTGTGGAATTTTAATTAGAATATGTTTTGTTTTCATATACCTCTCAAGGCACCTATTATAGTGATGCATAAATGGTACAAGTGATAAATGGATAGATGGATGAAAGATGGAAGAATGGATATATGGATGGATGGATGGAAAGATGACAGGCCAATGGGAAGAAAAAAAGAGGAGGTAGAGGAAGAAGAGATAAATCAGTTTTTTTCATTTTATCCTGCCTCCTGCTGTCTGAAAAACCTGTATTTTATACCAGAACTTTTCATACTTTAAGGTATACAAAAATTACATGGGGATCTTGTTAAAAATGGAGAGTCAGGTTGTCTGGGGACCCATGATTCTGCTTTTCTAAGAAGCTCCCAGGCGACAGTCAATACTACAGGCATTTTTACCTTATTCTATAAAATTCTCAGTGGGGTAATCCCAGAGCTGTGCTTGGTAACAGGTGTTTTAGATTCAATGTAGGTGCACTAAAAAGCCCATGTCTTCGTATGTCCTCAGACAAGATAAAAAGCAGCTACTTATATGATCTCCTGTTCCTTTGGGAAGGAAAACCCCTCAGTTCTACTGCCTGACTCATTTCCACTTATACCCATTGGGGGAAGAAAAGTCTGGGTAAAAGAAATGGATGTTATAAAAGGAAGAGTCAAAGCAACTCCATGCATGCTTACCTCGATGAATGACAGAGAGCTTACTGTGTAAGTGTTCTAACGCTTTTACAATCTGCAAGAGAAACACAAGATAGATTCTTCTCCATCATTGGAAAGAAACTGAATGTTAGGTATACCCAGGTTTATGATCCCAGGCTTAACATCACCAGGTGAGGTATTTTCTCCAATAGCGGTGGCCCTATCCAGGAAAATACACAGGTAGCTACACTTATTGACCTCCACCCCCCAGAGAGGACCGGATCTCACAGTAGAAAGGATGATCTCGCTCATCTAGCCGGTGTTTCATTTGGCCTCCAGCATCTTTTTTTCTCTCTACCCTCATGAGCCTCAATAGCCATTAAGAGAATAATCTTTCTTTCCATTTCATTTTCTTCTGCTTCTTTCTATGCCCTATTAGCCTTAAGAAAACATTTTAAAATCTACAAATGAAAATCAAAGTAAACTAATATCAGACTATAGACACCAGGAATGTGGTCATAGCAGATGAAGGCGCTGCTTAGAGGCATTTTAACGGAGAGTTTACCAAACCAAGTCAGTGGTAGAATCTTCGACACAGCGCCCAGAAAGAAAAGCATTCAGTTACTAGTCCACAGATGCACTCCTGCGCTCAACAGACATGTGCTATTGCTCACATCCATCTAGAGTTTGCTCACAATAGGGAATCAAGACACATATCAGGTCTAGACTTCTCATATGCTCCCTGTAGTAGAGTTCATGATGTACTCACAGAAACTGCTATTTTCCCTAAGATGTCCTCTGGAATTGTTTGGCCTTTATCGATCACTTGTTTGTAGAATTTATCTAGCGACGTATCCATGAGCTCCATGCAGATCCAAACATCACCCTGGAGATAAATTGGTTCAGAGATTGTTGGAGAGGATAGAAAAGGAAAAGAAGGGGAAACAGTTAACACCTGTCGGGAAAAACCATTTCTTACTTGAGTTTTCGGAGGACATGTACAATTTCCCTTCAAGATCTCAAAGGAATTTACAAACAAGCAAGTTCGTTTCCAAAAAGCCAACCAGCGGAGAGCCAAGCAGAACCTGCATGTGATCACCTACTCCTTGATAAAGAGCATGATCTAAATACTAACAGCCACTCCAGCTATGGAAGGAAGAAGTTACGAGAATAAAAGGCACAGTATAGGGAATATAGTCAATGATATAATAGAGTTATATGGTGACAGACGGTCGCTACACTCACTTGTGCTGAATACCTATAATGTAGAGAGAAGTTGAATCCCTATGTTGTACAACCTTAACTAATGTGACATTGTGTGTGACTCAAATTTTTAAAAAACATTTTTAATAAATAATACATCAGTACTATTAGTCACCAACAATAGATCCCCAGAAATCCAGGCCTTCATGGTTACTGTCCTCTAGGGATTAGGGCTACAGGCCTACTCCATGTCTGACCTCCCACCCGGAACACTGGCAATCATTCATCCAAAAGCTAGTCGAAGCCTCAAAATCCATATCATGGGAAAGTGAAAGCGGAGGTAAAGCAAAGAGATAAATGTAAGCCTCCGGGGTACATTAACAGCGTAAATAAAGCTTATCATTTGGCCAAAAGACCACAGTATTTCAGATTTTAAGAAATCTGCCTAAATTAGTCTATAGGCAATTGATAGAGATAACCCATGCCAAAATAAACAAACCAAAACAGAAAGGAGAAAGGGAGCCTCAGGGTCTTCAAAAGGGCTAGACACATTTGGAAAGACTCTCATTTCAAGCCAACTTTGCATCAGGGCATGTCACCACTGCCAGAGCAGAAATCGCTCAGAGAAGACACATCAAATGAGAAAGAGTACCAGGATTGTGCATCGTGTTCATGTGATTAGAGAAACACCTTTTTAAGTCCTTGTCCTCCCCAGATGTTGAGTTGAAGGATCACCTACCTCCCGGAAGAGTGCACCATAAAAGGTGACGGTAAAAGGACAGTCCACTGTCCTCATGGAAATATCCAAATCCATCAGTAGCCTTTTCTGCTCCTGGCTATTTACTGTGGCCCGGATCCGCTGAATGGGAATGCATGGAAAAACGTATGGTTACTGCTCTGAGGATGAGTCAGTTAATAAGGCAGGGACCTTAAGGAGTCCCATCCCGAAAATACTACAAACTCATAGAACAAGTCTAGCAACAACCTTTCAAGTATTTACCCTAGTGATTAGCTATTTGTAACAAATGAGAAATAAGGAAGACTTTCAGTGGGTTTCCTGAAAAATCCCTGGCAAGAAACAAACTGATAATATATTTTGGAAAGTGTGCAAATGTTGGTGAATGTACTTCCTTCCAAGTCACAAAAACAGCCTGCTTTATTGTGTTATGTCTGTTCAGTACAGAGACCAGAGTATTCGTGACTTTGTGGCTAACTCGGGATCCCACAACAAGATCTAAAAGCCCCTCTTTGGGAACAAGGAAGAATACCTGGACTAAGTACCAACTGTAAAAGAATGGACAGAGCTCTCAGAAATGGATGGAATCAAGCAGAAATGGAGAGACTGTTCATTCCTATCCCAGGGCTTCTGAGAGAAGAGACACCTGTCACACCAGCAAATGCAGAATTAAAGAAATACGATTCTGTCATTAAATGACAGTAAAGATATAGTATCACGAGGCTTTCATATTTTTGGCCTAATTAGCAAAAAGTCTGAAGAAGAACACATGGCAAAATCCAAAAGGTAAGGGAAAGATATCTCCATTCTCCAAAAACAAAGGGGTCCCAGCCTTCTGACCATCTACATTCTTAAAAGGCCCAAATCCATGAATTCATGTACAGACGGTGGATCCCCAAAGCCCCTCGAGCATCTACTCAAAAAATATTCAATGAGGGGCACCTGGGTGGCTCAGTTGGTTAAGCGTCTGCCTTCAGCTCAGGTCATGATCTCAGGGTTCTGGGATCGGGCCCTGCATGGGGCTCTCTGCTCAGCAGGGAGTGTGCTTCTTCCTCTGCCTCTCCCCTCACTTGTGCTCGCGCGTGCTCTCTCTCTCTCTCTCTCAAATAAATAAATAAAATTTAAAAAAAAGAAATATGCAATGATTCTAAATTTCTTTTTCCAGCTCAAAAATGATGCAAATTCACTCAAGATGCATTTTACCCTCCTTTTTTCCACAAACAGACACAATCTTCTCTCTCAATTCTGATTTCCTGATTTTCGGGGACCGTTCTTTAAAACCAACAGAATATGAGAATAAAAGAGACTTTTGAGACATAACAACCAAATGCAGTATGTGAACTTTTATTTGGATTCTGATTTCAACAACCAGCAGGCAAAAAACAAAACAAACAAGAAAAAAACATGGTGATGATCCAGGTAATTTTAATTTGGAGCTGGTATTCCATGACATTAAAGAAGTATTGATAATTCTTTTAAGTGTGATGACATGGTGGTTACATAAAAAATTAAAAGGAGGGGGTCAGATTTATCAGTTAAAATAAAAAACAAAACCAGTAAACACAACTCATACCAAGGAAGCATTTTCCAGACATTTGGAGGGAAATACTGTTCCCTACAGATAATCTTCTTTGTTTGACCCCATTGAAGATTGTTTTGCTTCTATGGAAAGAACTGTTTGGCAATTGAGATGGACGAACGTATATACCACAGACAGAACACGTTTGGGGAGCATCAACTCTACCTTCACCGCCATGATCTGCCCGCTGGGCACGTGTCGCATCTTCTCCACCACCCCGTACGCACCTCGCCCCAGTTCCATTATAGGCTCCAGGTCATCCGCCTTCACCTCAAAGTTCTACAAGAGAGAAAAGTAATAATGCAAGAGTAAAGAAAAAAATAAAGGACATAAACTACCTCGTCCTCTCTCTGGCTTCTCCTGATATTCTAAGAGTTATTTCTGGTCCAGAAGCTTCTGGTCTAGAAGTTTTATCCAAGCAGCCGCTGCAAGCAGGAAGCACCAGGACATGTTCAGACTCATAGAGTATGTCACCTGCTTGTCACGGGCAATACAGAGATCCAGCTCCAGCTCAGCCTCCAAACTCACTTTGAGCTATCTGCAACGGCTCCTTAGCCCTGCCCCCTTCCTCATACATTTAATCCATTTGCTGACTGATGGCAACTAGATCTACCCTTGGACTTTGAGGACTGCATCCCAAAGCCAATCATCTACTCCCCTCAAATACCTTCCATCAGGGCAACACTAGCCTGATTTCAACAAGGCATCCAAAACAGCAAGAGCACCACCCACTGCTCCTGCTTAAACTCAAACTTTTGGACCCATCCCCTCACGGCATGTTATAGAAAATAAATTTTCCGATGGCCAGTCAGAAAGCATATATGAGAAATGGTCAAGATATTAACTGGCAAACGTGATTTTTTTACCTGATTTCCAATAGAAATGCAAGCTTTAGAGTCTAAGTCTCGAGGTGGCCTAAGAAAGAAAAGGAGGAAAAGAAAAAACATGAGGTATTTAGTCAATTATGCCCTTCCCAAATCATATATGACTGGAGAGAGTTTTCCTTAGGGGTAAGTTGGAAGTTCATCAGTAAAATAAAGTAGCAAAGAAGTGTTAATTGTGCGGGATTTGGAATAAAATATATTTGAGTTTAAATGACTTCAGCTCCAGGATGCCTGGGTGGTTCAGTCGGTTGAGCATCTGGCTCTTGATATCTGCTCAGGTCATGATCTCGGGGTTGTGGGATCAAGCCCCGCGTTGGGCTCCATGCTCAGCTGGGAGTGTGCTTAAGATCCTCTTCCTTTCCCTTTATCCCTTCCCATCCACCCTGCCCCACGCTGGCTCTCACACTCTCTCTCTCTAAAATAAATAAATCTTTAAAATAAATAAATGACTTAATCTCTTTGACTGTCTATTTCTTCTTTAACATGAAGATATTAATATATCCTGAGATATTCCAAGTAAAATGCTTAGCAGAATGGCTGGCATACAGTAAATATCCAATGAATATGACCTAGGTATAGAATTATATAAATAAACGTACTATTCTAGTAAACCCCAAACTTTTTCTTTCATCCAAGAACACCAATGTGCCCAATTATTCCATCACATTTTCCCATAATTTAAAAAAGTAGTAATGATTAGCATATGGTTATGTTAACTCACAAAATCCATAAACCATAATAATTCCAAATCTCTCTAGTCCCCACGTTTAGAGATGGAAAAAGGCCCAGAGAGGCGAAGTAACTTGCCCAAGGTCACAACACTAACCCAGTGACTTGCCCAAGGTCACAATTAACCCAGGTCTCCTGGTTTGCAGGTCAGAATATTTCCTGTTCTATCAGGCGTATAAGACAGTTGTGTTATTTCTTCCATACACAGCACACACACTGTCCAGGGGTCATCTCAGCACCCAGAGGTTGGCTGATTTTGTGCCTCCATAGAAAAAGCACACGGTCCCCTCATGTGCATGTATTTCTACTACTTCAATACTAGCTGGGTTGATATCAATCCACTCAAGAGAAAGATGTTTGGCTTTGGCCATGCAACTAACTAAGAGCTTCGAGAAGCATTTTCGTGGAATAAATGCACCAAAAGTATCACCACCAAAAGACAGAAGAATTCTGGGGCTGCCAGAATCAATGGTTGGACCAAAAAGACCCAGGTCTTCCTAAGGGGACATTCCACGTAGAACACTCTAGAAACATATAAGGGAAAATGGAAGGAAGGGAAGATGATAGGAAGGGAGAAAAGAATCCTAGCCCATGACAATTTTTCCCAACCCTAATGTGTTATAATTCTGCCCCTTCTTCTGAAACTAACTAAATAAAACAATAAGGAAAAAATGGGAATATAAACACAGATATAAACATAAATTTAAGGTTTTAATGGCAAACCCTCCCTCACCTCAAAATCCCTTTGAAATGCATAAAATACCTAAAATAAAGTTTTTCTGGACTAACTTAAAACCAGGAACTGGGAGGGAGAGATACAGAGGAAAACACACACACACACACACACACACACACACATCCCAGTACACACCAGTGATGTTTTTATATATCTTGTGTTTATAAGCAGGGAATTTTTCTTCAGAAATACGTTCCAGAGGATTACATTTCTAAAGATCTGATTTCTCATTCTCAAAATTTCCAAACGATTTTTCTTTCATCATCAATGATTTGTACTAATTGCAATGGAACTCTGAAATAAAGACAAATATTACTTGAAACATGTGACTACCATAAACAATAAAAAATCTCTTGCTGCTGTTCAGCACCCTTCCTTTTAAAAAGTATGAAGCATAAGAATAAAAAATAAATAAATAATAAAAATAAAAATAAAAACTAAAAAGTATGAAGCGACAGGAAAAGGGGCTTCCTCCCTTTTCTTGCCACCCAAGGAAGGCACTGGGTAAGACCTCTTCCAGCTCTGGTATTCCAGTATTCATACGGGGCTTTGCAAATTACAGCCTGTGGCCCAGCTAAGAATGACTGTTTTCAAGTTTAAAAAGTTGTTGGAAAACAGACTATGAAGAATATCCAACTGGGGCCAGCAGGGCCCAGGTAACCTGAAATATTTACCAGCTGGCCTTTGTAAGAAAAAAAAAGTTTGCTAACTCCAGCGTTGTACTAACCTTGCGGTATATACCTCTACCTAATAGGAGGGGGTCATGCAATTTTCCAGAATGAGAAAAATGTAACCCACAAAAGCTGAGATTTGCTAAAGCCAGACAGCCCAACAGAGCCGAAAATAAAACCCATGCCACTTGAATCTCAGTCTTGACCTAAAGAGAAAGGGATATAGGCTGAATCAAGTGCAATGCTTTATCTACATCTCATTTAATTCTTTAAACACACACTCTCTCTCTCTCTTATGAGTATCATTACTCCCATGGTCCAGATGAGAAACCGTTTGGCTCAAAGTTTAACTAACTTGCTCCCAAGTCGTAAGGCCATGATTTCAGCCCAACTCTGATTGAATCCAAGGAACCTACTCCCAACACCCAGGGCCCCTCTAATGAAAATGATCAATCCACCCAACCCTGAGGGCTTTGGGCTCATCAAGTCTGCCAAAAGCATCAAATGATGGGGCCAAGGCTGACGGCTCATATTAGATTCGTTGACACTGTGTTCTGTCCAGGGCTGGGCATATTAGTTTGTCTGGGGCACTGAGTCTCTGCAGGAGGTTAAACTGTGGGTGTATGTTCTCTGTTGCTTATTCAATATTTTAGTCCTCTGGGGAAAGAAACAGGCTTATTACAAAATTCCTTCCCTGGAAGGTCAAAGGTACTCCAAAGGTCACCTAGTATTAGCTTTTTGGAGCCTGAACTCTTACCCATGAAATGATGCCCAACTGTTCTGACCACCTGATCTTGTACAGGTCTGTTTTCTCACTTATAAAGTAAGAGTAACACAGACTGACTGCCTCCTGAGCTTCTTGGGAGGGTTAACTGGAGTAATACTCACTAGCATAGAATCAATTCAGAACTAGCTGCTGCCAATCAAGTATGGGGACAGCTCAGAAACCTGAGCCAAAGACACACTGGCATCAGTTACTCAGAGAAAGAGCTCAAGCAGAGGGACCACACACACAGAACTAGGAAGAATGGACCTCTGTCCCAGGATATTTATTTTTGTGTAGTACAGCAGAAGGCAGGGTATAAATTGTACGAGTCACCAAGCCAACCCTAAAAAATTGCCAAGAGAAACACAAAATGTGGAAGCTACTTCTTTAGGACTATGAATATAAGCATCAGTATTAAAATACTACTACTAATAATAAGGCTCTCCCGGAGCTAAAGTGGTCTAGTCTACAAAATAAAGTGATGCTCTTGGCTTTACGCAGTGAAAAAGAAAATCAATTAAACACATTCAAAGTTTATTCTACCACAGGAGGGAAAGACAACACAGAAACTGGGTTTATCCTTGCACAGGTTTTTACTCATCTGTTTACACCAAGGTAGGATTTATTGTGGCTTTCATAAAATTCATAAAATACAGAAAATTAATATAAATTAGAAGAAGATGAGGGCTAAAAGTTTAAAGAGAAGGAATATAAGACCAGTGGGAGAGTGACATAGGACTGTACCCCAAAATCAGGGCGCCTCGGTGGCTCGGTCAGTTGAGCATCCGACTCTTGATTTCAGCTCAGGTCTTGAGCTCAGGGTGGTGGAATCGAGCGCCAAGTCGGGCTCCGCGCTCAGCGGGAAGTCTGCTTAAGTTTCTCTCTCCCTCTCTGTCTGCCCCTCCCCCCTCTTGCATGTGCACTCTCTAAATACATACATACGTACATACATACATAAAATGTTTTAAAATAGCAATAATATTGATAAACCTCCAGCAAGACTGACACAGATTACAAGAGAGAAGACAGATTTCCAGTCTCAGGAAAAAATAGGATATCACAACATGTCCTATAGCCATTCAAAGAATAATCAGGGAATACTATAAGCAATGTTCCTCTTATAAATTCAACAACTTAGAAAAAATGGACCCATTCCTTGAAAACCAGCAACTGCACAAACTTGAAGAAACAGGTCATCTGAATAGTCCTGTAACTATTACAGAAATTGATTTTGTATTTTAAAAGCCCCAGAAAAAAGAAATATATCGGCTCATTTTGTTTCACTGGAGAATTTTAGCAAACATTTTTTTAAAAAGAATTAATACGGGCGCCTGGGTGGCTCAGTTGGTTAAGCGACTGCCTTCGGCTCAGGTCATGATCCCAGGGTCCTGGGATCGAGTCCCGCATCGGGCTCCCTGCTCAGCAGGGAGTCTGCTTCTCCCTCTGACCCTCCCCCCTCTCATGCTCTCTCTCTATCTCATTCTCTCTCAAATAAATAAATAAAATCTTAAAAAAAAAAAGAATTAATACAGATTTTACGTGTCTACCAGAAAAAAAAAAAAAAAGAAGAAACTCTTACCAATTCATTTTATGAGGCCAATATTACCTTAATGTCAAAACCAGAAGATAACAGCATACACTCCCCCCAAAAAAAGAAGAACAACTCAAAACAACCACTACAGACCAACATATCTCATGAACTCAGACACAAAAGTCCTCAACAAAATTTCAACAGATTGAATCCAACAATGTATTTTAAAAAATGTACCACAACCAAATGGAATTCATTTTGGGCATGCGAATCTAGTTTAATATTTAAAAATCAATCACAATGTGGGGCGCCTGGGTGGCTCAGTCATTAAGCGTCTGCCTTCGGCTCAGGTCATGATCCCGGAGTCCCGGGATCGAGTCCCACATCGGGGTCCCTGCTCGGCGGGAAGCCTGCTTCTCCCTCTCCCACTCCCCCTGCTTGTGTTCCTGCTCTCGCTATCTCTCTCTCTCTGTCAAATAAATAAAATAAAAAAATAAAATAAAATAAATCAATCACAATGTAATCCATATCAACAGTACAAAGAAGAAAAACCTATGATGTGTCAAGTGAGGCACAAAAAAGCACTTAACAAAATTCAACACACATTAACAATAAAAACCCTCGGTATCCCACAACTAGAGAGGAACTTTTTCAAGCCTCAATCTACAAAAACCTAACATCATGCTTAATGGTAAAGATTGAACACTTTCCCTCTAATAACAAAGCAAGGTTGCTTACTCTCACCAATCTTATCTGACATAGTACTGGACATTCTTGCCACTGAAATAAAGCAAAAAAATAATGAAAGTTTTTAAAAATACAATTTGGAAAGGAAGAAAGAAAACTCTCTATTTGCAGGTGGCATGATTGTAGACATAGAAAACTCTATAAAGAATCTACAAACACACACACACACAAAGAATCTACAAAAATGCTCCTAGAACTACTAAGTGAATTCAGTATGGTCCCAGGATACAAGAGCAATAGAGAAAAATCTACTGCATTCCTATACACTGACCCTCAACAGGTGGAAACCAAAATTTAAAACGGAGTATCATTTATAGTTGCTCCCCACAAAATGAAATACTTAGGTATAAATCTTAACAAGCCCTACTGTAAAGAGTCCGTATGATAAATACTATAAAATACTGATGAAAGACATCAAAGAAAATCTAAAGACTTGCAGAAATCTACCAGGTTCATGGATTAGGAAACTCATTGTAGTCAAGACGTCAACTCTTCCCAAACTGATCTAAAGGTTACACATAATTCCTACCAAAATCTCAGCAAATTCATTTATAGACATAAACACACTGATTCTAAAACTAATATGGAAAGGGAAAAGCCCTAAAATAGCCAAAATTATTTTGAAAAACAGAACAAAGTGTGAAGCAATGGGTTCTTAAAATTGTCACCAAAAGCATAACCCGTAAGAGGAAAAATTGCTAGATGGGATTTCATCAAAATAAAAGGATGAAGAGACAAATTATAGACTGAGAGAAAATGTTTTTAAATCACATATCTGACAAACTCCTTGTGTCTAGAATATAGAAAAGAGGGTGCCTGGGTGGCTCAGATGGTTAAGCATCTGCCTTCGGCCCAGGTCATGATCCCAGGGTCCTGGGATCGAGTCCCGCATAGGGCTCTCTGCTCCTTGGGAGCCTGCTTCTCCCTCTGCCTCTCTCTCTCTCTGTCTCTCATGAATAAATAAATAAAAATCTTTAAAAAAAATAGAATATAGAAAAGAAGTCTCAAAACTCAACATTAAAAAAGTAATCTAATTAAGAAGGAGGCAAAGACGTGCACAGACATTTCACCACCAAAGATATACAGATAGAAAATAAACACCTAAAAATACTCAGCATCATCATGAGAAAAATAAAAATGAGAACTACAATGATATAACATTATACATCTATCAGAATGGCTAATGGGGCTCCTGGGTGGCTTAGTCAGTTAAGTGTCCAACTCTTAACTTCAGCTCAGGTCATGATCTCAGGGTTGTGAGATCGAGCCCAGTGTCAGGCTCCATGCTCAGCGGGGAGTCTGCTCAAGATTCTCTCTCTCTCTCCCTCTCCCTCTGCCCCTCCCCCCAACTTGCACTTTCTCTCTCTCACGCAAAAATAAATAAATATTTTTTAAAAAAAGAATGACTAAAATGGAAAATAGCGTTAATGTTGGCAGGGATGCAGAGAAACTGGATCATCGCAAATGGCTAATAAGAATGTAAAATGGTACAACCACTCTGGAAAATACCTTGGAAGTTATTTCAAAAATGGAATTACCGAATGGCCCAGCAATTGCACTACTGGACATATGCTCCAGGGAAATGAAGACTTATTTTCATGCAGACACTTACTTTTGTCACAATAACCCCAGTTTTCCAAAACTGGAAACTACCCATATCTCCTTCAAAGGCTAGAGGGTTCAACAAACTGTGGTATATCCATACCATGGAATGGATTCAGCAATAACAAGGAAAGAACTACTGATACAGGCAACAACTTGAACGAACCTCGAGGAAACTATGCTGCAAGGAAAAGCCAATCTCGAATAGGAGACACGTGATTTGGTATATGTAGCAACCATGAGACAACAAAATGGAAATGGGGAACAGATGAGTGGTTGCCAGAGATTAGGGCTGGGGGTTAGAGGTGGGAGTGACTATAAGGGAGTAACACCAAAGAGTCTTGTGGTATTGATACAATTGAATACCTTGATTATGGTAGTGGTTCCATAAGGCTACACGTGATAAAACTGCATAGAGCTACACACACACATACACACACACACACACACAACGAGGACTTACAATAATGGTGAGATTTGAGTAAGTTCTATGGTTTGCACCAATGCCACTTTGTTTTGACATTGGGTGGCAGTTGTGTTAAGATATGAACATGGAGGGGAGGACACAAACTAGGGGAAGGGTACATGGGACTTCCCTGTGCATTTCTTTGTCCTCTCCTGTGAATCTACAATAATTTCAAGTTGAAAAGTTTTAAAAGCATATCACACAGAGTCCCATACAGATAGTACAGGGAAGTAATATATTTGAGTCTAAACTCTTGAGAAACCAATCAGAGAGGAGACGTTATAAATTACACAGGTCATAGGTCCACAGGAAAAAAAAAAACACCAAAAGGACCAAAAACACCAATCTCGATAACAGATATGGAAAGAACCTCCTGCTGCAGAGCCTCAGGAAAGGACCAGTCTAAGGTGAGGTTGGCCCTCGAGCTACAGAGCAGAACCCAGAAGAGTGAACTTTCCGCTCTGTACTTGAAGGTTCTTGAGTGGAACATTTGTTCATACCACTGCAGGGAATGGCCAATGGCCTCAACAAAGTCTTACAGTAGACGTGATCATTTTTACTAGCACTTTCCAACACCAGGAGGTGTCCTTCCTGATAGGATGGATAGTGGTTAAGGTCAAAAACCTTTAGAAAGAGAGGCACTTGTCGAGATGACCAACGGCCTTGAAAACTCAAGCTTCCATTGGGATGGTCTTTCCCTATACTTGCTCTGCCTCTCTAGAACTTCTGTTGTGACTTTTTTCCTTGCAATTTCCATTCCTCCCAAGCAGATGCTTTGTAAGGTGGTCATATCTACAACTAGACAGGAGGTACTCTCACCATCCCACGGAGAGAAAAAGAAATAAGAGGAAGGCTAAAGGAGAAGGTATCCTGCTTCACCAGGACTTGAGCTCACTTAGGGATTTGGGCCAAAGCCTCTGCTAATTTAAAAAAAAAAAAAAAAAAAAAGGTTCCTTTACCTCATTTTGCCTTCTATTTATATGGGATAGGATTTAGGTGTCAGGATGCTGAGTCCTTATCAAATACCGTCTTTCCATCTCTACTCAAGCTTTATAGTAGTGGCTCTCCCAGGGATTTGCTTATTTGCTCAAGTCTATATGGAAAAGGCAAAAAATCCAGGTCCAGGGACCTTTCTGAACTTCATAGAACCCCATCTGCCAAACGCACTTGTGACACTCAATTTTATGCCAACCAGTAACATGAGAGGCTGAGTTCAAAGCTACCCTGAGTTCAAAGCACGATATAGACTGACTGATTATTTCAGGTCTCAGAACAGCGAGCACATGGCTCCTCCCTCTAAAGGGCTCTTCTTTCTAACGGTGATTTCCATAGTCAAGGCATTGCTCATCCGTCCAAAAACGAACCCCCATTCCCTAGAAATCTGTAAAGTGAAGTGTTTGGATTAAGACGATGATCTTGCCAACTTACGTGGAACTGGGCTGAGGTTGTTCAAATGCTTCTTTTGGAATTTTAAGGCCAGGGTTTCGCTTCCTGCCTATGGGGAGAGACACAAGGATAAAGTTAAGGTCGAAACCACAGCATGAGAGTGGGAACAGAGACCCTGCAGAAGACGCAAAGGGCTAGCCTGGGAACATGTAGCTCTCATCTCCTCATGCAGAACCCCGTTTCCCACCCAGGAAGTCTGTGAGTGCCGAGCACCCAAGCACCAAGCAGAGCACAGCTTCCCAAATACAGACTGTGCTCATGGATGAGGTTCTTTGCCACTTAAGGATGAAAAGATCAGTATAAGAATGCTAACACTCTCTTTACCCAGGAGAGCTGCCCTTTCCTCCCTGCCAAGAGGTGGTCGTTCCAACTTCTTTGTTATTTCTTGTACGTGAGAATGGTAATGGTAGATGGTATTGGCTATAGATTTTTTCCTTTTTAATGTCAGTCCAATATAATCACCTCTATCGCAATATCTTACAACTTTCTCATTTGATCTGTAAACAACTGACAGATTTAACTATGGAGGGAGAATAAACAATACCTTCCCACTCTTCTGCCCTGACCATTTGTCAACCACCTGTCATAAATGGAAACACCTAAAAGAGGGAGAGAGTGATATTTATTTACGTTTACCCTGTTTCAAAAAGGAATAAGGTAACAGATGGGCTCATGCAAGGAGGTTATCGCTTCTTTGGGGACCAGGTAGGAATGTAACCCATGTGTTCATCCTTGGACTGAAACCACAGAGAGTTTGGCTCAAATAATTTTGCTGACGAATAAAAATGAATAGACTGATGGTGCGCCCAGGTGGCTTGGTCGGTTAAGCGTCCAACTCTTGATTTCAGCTCAGGGGTCGTATGATCGAGCCCCTCATCGGGCTCCACACTGGGCGTGGAATCTGCTTGAGATTCTCTCTCTTCCTCTCCCCGACCCTCCCCCTCTCTCAAGGGGGAAAAATAAAAAAAGAACAGACTGAGAAATGCCAGCTCAGGAATGTGAGTAGTAGTCTCTTAAGAGCCCAGGATTTTCCTCACCTAAGGAGATCCTGGGTCTCTTCATGCTTGGCAGGGGAAACCAAAGCAGAGCTGGGTAGAATGCCGAGGGTTCTCCTTTTTTTTTCCTCCCCTCTGCTCTGTATCACTGGGGTGCATTACAGCATTGATACCAGCCCTGGACAAGGCCTGGGTTAGAGACTCTCAAGATGCAAAGAGACTTACGACATCAAAGAATATAACCTCCTTGCAGGAAAATGACATCCAAAGATTTCTGTAATTGCTCAACATCATAGAACCAGCAACGACCCGTCAGAATCAGAATCCAGGTCTCCAACACCCAGCCTGGAACTTATTCCTCTGTTCTACAATGGAAGGAGTTCAGGGATGATCAGAGAGAGGAGGGCATGGGGAGCATGTGATTATGAGCTTTTAAAAAAACAGCTTATTTCCGGTACTTTCACTCACCAAGCGACCTCCAGAGTCACTTTTCACCTGACTCTTGGTATCCTCAAGTGTAAAATGGGGAAATAATACTCATGCCGACCTCAATGGACTGGAGAGGAGAGCCATGGGGTATCACATATGAACAAGCACAGACCTATCTTAAGTAGCTGTTAATTATAACCATTTAGAGAAAGAATCTGTACAGTCTCATTAAAAAATAAGTCATTTAAGAAATGCATGAGCAGAACTGGTCAGATTACCTCAGTCCAAGATAATGTGTAATCGACTCTTGTTCAATCCCTTCAAAACCCAAAATCAGGATCAATTCTGCCAAGTTGTATAAAGCCAAGGAGAAATATGCTTGGCAGTAGCCAACGCAGAGAAAGTCTTTCAGGTCCACCTTCATTGTCACAGGTCTTCTCAATGCTCTCTTCCTTTGGGCTCATCTATGTGTTTTATAAGATTCAAAACTCACTATTACTTTCCTCCTGCCGGAGTTCAGATGGCCCCACTTAGCACACGTTACTAAGTTAGTCAGTGACACAATACAGAAAGCCTTGTCCATACATATGGTAGATAATAGAGAGAGCTGTGCTATGTACCAGGAACAATGCTAAGGGCTGGATCTGATGGTGAAAATCCCAATAGATGCGTGGCCCAATTCCAACAATTCCTCTCCATGCACCTCAGTCAAAGAGCTGGAGGATGCTATTTTAAATACTGTCGTGAGGAATGCATGACAAATTCCATTTGTCCAGATGACTACATCTCTACTCCAACACAGGTAGCAGGTAGTTCAGATAATCCCAGCAGATACAACCCTGTCTTCCCCTCTGTTAAAACAAAATAAAAGTAAAATATATTTTGCCTCTGAAAAAGTCTCCCCCGTTGCCATGTAAGCAAACCAAAAGCAAAAGTTACTCTGAAATTCCTACACCTCCCTCTTCTTCATTTCTAACTCAGCTCTTACAAGAGAGATGTCCAGAGAGATAGCTATTTGTAGGGGGAAACTGCCTTTGCAAAACACAGCAATGAATTATTCTACCATAGCAATTGACTATTAGCAATTCATGATTATACTGTAACTCCACAAATCTTTAAAACGTCTCTGCAAAGAAACAGTAAAAGAGAGAGACAGAGAAGCTCTTGGCACAGAGGCTAAAGGAATAAATGACCAAAACAAAAATAAAGTCTTCAAGGTGTGAGAAAAGAAGGCTCCTACTTCTTTTCTGACAGCAACAAGAAAAATACTTGCAGGAGACACAAAACCTGGTTGAATGACACAGTTAGAATACACCCTGCCTTCATTTTCAACAGTGCATCAGATTGGACAAAAATCACAGACACATGCACCAAAATTCCATAACTCACTTACTTGCCCATCCCTGAAAGAGGAGGCCAGGGGTGACTCTGATGAGGTTTTCAAGGCTGCAAGCAAGGCTCGCAGAACAGCACACACCAGGCATTCTTCGCTCAGCTCTGAAGACCACACTTCAGCAGAGAGAAACAGCCCTGAATAGACTCCACCCTCTCAAGGGCGGATTGCAGCAAACCTCTCGGAGTTTATTGTTCCCAGCAAACCGCAACTTCACAAAGAAAGAAGGAAAGTGGGTCCATTTGGACACCGAGGCGTGACATGCACTGCTAACCAGACGTGGGAAAAAAATACATCTATAAAGTAATCCTGGACCATACTGCCTTTTCCAGCCTTTCTATAAATGCCTCTTTCATTTCTTAGGAGAAAGAAAAACAATATGTGGTCAGTTTCCAGCTGTGTTTATTTCAAAGCAATCTGTTTCCCGGGCAAGCCTGCCAACACCTGACGCTAACATTTAACACCACGTTAAAAAAAAAAAAAAAAAGTAAGCGGGGGAAGCAACGTAAATAATACAACACTGTGCCCAAGGATGTGAAATGGCCATTTCCCCTGATAGTCTAAAGCAAACACGAAAAAATAGATCAGAAAACAGGCTCTGTGTTGGGTCCCATGCTAGTTAACAACCTTCTCAGGAGGAGAGAAGGCCCGTGCGCTCCTACGGACCTCGACAAGCTTGGCCCCCTTGTTGGTACAATCTGCAGAGGGTAAGCCTCGTGGGCTTGAGCATTTGCAGCGCTGTATTACATCAGCCCCGTGCCACACCCGTGCTTATTTTCTCTGAAAATGTAGCCCCACCGCACACACATATATTTGCAAAAATTCATCTTAAACCAAAGCTGGGTCATTATAATCCTGGCCGGGAGCAAAAATGGCACCAGAAGACAAAAACCTTGCCAAGAGTTAGCAAACATTTCCCAGGCCGCAGAAGTGTTCGCTAGCTTTGACCGTCCCGAAAATGATGGGGTACACAAGACCTCTTGCCCAGTACCCACGCAGACAGGCTGGGCACAAAGAGCTTCTCTCATGTGCCTTATTACATAAAACAGAAAAGATGGTGCTCTGGTGCCAACCCAAACAGCCAGAGAATCCCACAGGGTGAACAGAAGGTGGCATCATGAGGATATGCTGACGACTAACTATTTGTCAGCTTGGCTGGGAGGTCGGGTGAGGGGGGAGAGTGACAATGAGGGTTTATGATTATTGCTGCAGCTTTACAAAAGGATGACATTGCTTCCAGGGCCAAATTTAATTTCCAAATCTGTTCCCTAATGTGAATGGGATTTCCAGCCAAGTCACCGGCAACCTGGCTGCCCTCTCCTTAATACTTGCATCTAGACTTAAGTCCCAGGGGTAGCCAGCACCGAAATCGGGAGAGGAGTGTCATTAGATGTTATTAAACTGCGACGATCAGATGCAAAGCAACTAAGGGAGCAGGGCCGAGGGGAAGGAGTGCAGGGAGAAAGCTGGCTTCGCCAGAGCGAGAGGACACAGGTGCTTCCGTCCACCCCCCGCAACCACTGGATCTCACCCACCACTGAGACTCCAGCAAGCATGCCAACGTTCTGCAGAATGACGTAACATTTAGAGAAAGAAAGCTGACCAGCTCAGGTTAAAACGGGCGGTGGTTTTGATTTCAAGGAGGGAGATGGATTTCCTGGGACCTTGCCTTTATCTTTGTGTTGCTTCTGCCTAGAAGGTTCTAGCCCTCTTGCAGACAGGAACCCAAACTTCCATTTCTAGCTCTTCTATCACACGCCCCCGCAGAACCCTCCCAGATCTTCCCGAGCACTCCTTCCGGGTCATGGTCCACACCTCCAGCTTACACATTCCAGCATCTCACATAGATTGTGAACTCAATGCACTTTACTGAGCCTCTGACATTTTAGTTTAAAAGGTCCACTCTGCCTCTGTTGGTGGGGGTGCAGAAAGGTGCAGCCAATCTGGAAGACAGATTGAAGATTCCTCAAAAACCTAAAAATAGAACTACCCTACCATCCAGTAGTTGCACTACTGGGTATTTACCTAAAGAATACAAAAACACTGGGGCACCTGGGTGGCTCAGTTGGTTAAGCATCTGCCTTCGGCTCAGGTCATGATCCTAGGATCCCGGGACTGAGTCCCACGTCGGGCTCCCTGCTCAGCGGGGAGCCTGCTTCTCCCTCTACCTGCCACTTCCCCTGCTTGTGCTCTCTCTGACAAATAAATAAAAGGAAGCTGACTCCCCGTTGAGCAGGGAGCCCGATGCGGGACTCGATTCCAAGACCCTGGGATCATGACCTGAGCCAAAGGCAGCCACCCAACTGACTGAGCCACCCAGGCATCCCTAGACCTCATTTTAAATCCCAGCTGTGCCCCTTACTAACATGGTGAGCTTGAAAATGTTTCTTAAACCCAATTTCTGCACCTGCTAATGGGAGATGAGAGACTCGGGTCATTGAGAGGCTCAGCTTGCACAATATGTGTGAAGACATCTAGGAGGGTCCCACATATAACAGGTGCTCAATACATACTAGTTTCTTTTCTCCCTTCCATGTTTGTGCTTCTATTTTTTAAAATATGAGCTAAACAGAATGTTTCCCTGTATGGGCAACTTTTTTTTTTTTTAAGATTTTATTATTTATTTATTTGACAGAGAGAGACACAGCGAGAGAGGGAACACAAGCAGGGGGAATGGGAGGAGAAGCCGGCTTCCCGCGGAGCAGGGAGCCCGATGCGGGACTCGATCCCGGGACCCTGGGATCATGACCTGAGCCGAAGGCAGACGCTTAACGCCTGAGCCACCCAGGCGCCCTGAGCAACTTATTTCTTCAGATGTCCTCCTCTCTTCTTCCTCTCTTATGTTATTAATGTTAAAATTACATTTCTCAAACATCTCATCGATTTGGAACCATATTCTCTTGGTTCCCACTGACCATGGGAACGATTTCAGCTCCCCAGACTCAGGATCTCTGGGAGTGAGGCCTCCGAATCGTATCTTTCTTTATGAAGGACTTCTTTTTTGAGAGCAGTTTTCAGTTCGCAGCAAAACTGAAGGGAAGGTACAGAGATTTCCCCTATACCCCCGGCCCCCACACATGCATAGTCTCCCCATTATCAACATCCCCCAGCAGAGTGGTGCGTTTGTTACAATTGATGATACTGATGCATCATTATCACCCCCAAAGCCCATAATTTACAATGGGCTTCACTCCCGGTATTGTACATTCTATGGGTTTGGACAAATGTATACTGACATATATGATATATACAGACATGTCTGGATATCATTTTAGCCTCACACGGAGCATTTGCACTGTCCTAAAACCCCTCTGTGCTCTGCCTATTCATCCTTCCCTATCTTTTTACCATCTCCACACTTTTGCCTTTTCCAGAACATCATATAATTGGAATCATACCAACTGGCTTCTTTCACATAGTGACATTCCTCTAAGGTTCTTCCATGTCTTTTCACAGCTTAATAGCAAATTTCTTTTTAGCACTGAATAATAAAATTTCTTTTTATTCCATTGTCTGAATGTGCCACAGTTCATTAATCCGTTCATCTACTGACAGGCATCTTGTTGCTTCCAAGTTTTGGCAACTATGAATAAAACTCCTATAAACATATGTGTGCAGGTAAAGTAACGTGTCTCCTTTTTCACCACTTCTTTCTCTATGATGACAAGGTCACTTTCCGCCCAGTTCCTGGTACTTCCCCCCCACCACCACCACCACCAATCAGTTCTTTGTGGCTAGGAAGAAATTCCAAATGAGGCTCCTCACACGGCTATCTCTATCTTTGAGCTGAAACTGTTAATAATTCACCAAAGTAGACGCTGCAAGGAGCAAAAAGGTCATCAAGCTACAAATTCTGCTTTGAAAGGGTCAGGGGATAAGAAAAACCAGTTCCTGTAATATCAGAGTAGATGTGATATACACTACAAATACCGCATCATGAATACACAGGAGGTTCAAAGCAGAAGAGGGAAATGAAAAAGGAAAATGATCTCATAGGGGAAGTATTTTAGGTGGTCCTTTGATCACTGGTAGGATTTAGGAGTACATGAGGATTGATTAGACTCTTAGGTCTTCTTTTTCCATATTTAAATGTTCCCATTATACATTTTTTTTTAAATAATGGGTAGGATTTTGACAACCAGAACATGGAAATGAAACAGTGAGATTCTAAGCAGAATAAGGATGAGCTCCCAGTGGTGGTGAGAAGGCATTGTGGTCTATTCAAAGAAACTGCGAGTTGTCTACTTTAGACAAAGTGAAGGATGGTAGTAGAGAGAAAGCTGAAAGCATAGATGAGAGCCAACAACTGAAAGACCAAAGCTTTAGGGCGCCTGGTTGGCTCAGTTGGTTAAGCGACTGCCTTCGGCTCAGGTCATGATCCCAGAGTCCCGGGATCGAGTCCCGCATCGGGCTCCCTGCTCAGCGAGGAGCCTGCTTCTCCCTCTAACCCTCCCCCACTCATGTACTCTCTCTCTCTCTCTCTCATTCTCGCTCTCTCAAATAAATAAATAAATCTTTAAAAAAAAAAAGACCAAAGCTTTAAATTTTTAAATAATTTCATAATAATCTATTTTTTTAATTTTATTTTATTATGTTATATTAGTCACCATACATCATTAGTTTTTTATATAATTTCAGATTTAAGAAAAGGAGTTCTCTGTTGTTCAGTTGAGGAGGTCATGTCGTCCACATTTCAAAAAAATCATGTAACAAGATGAATCTAATATCTTCAGAATATTCTGAAAGTGTGGTAAACACACACACACACACCCATATTACACACCTTGGCATTTTAAGCTTCCAGGTCTTTGCTCGTGATTCCCCTAGAATGCTGCCATCAGCTGTCTCTACTGGTCAACTTTAACACAGCTCAAGCATGTTCTCCTTCAGGGAGCCTTCCATAAAAACACGCAGAATAAATGTTCCTCATCTGTATGGTTACAGTAGTCTGAACATACCTTTAATGGCTCCCTTCCTAAACCAATTGACCCAACCCATCTGCTCACCCATGGCTTGCTCTTCAAGGCCATCCCCCATGTCCCATCCATGCACGGGACAAGCGCTACACCCAAGAAGTAAGAGGCAGTGACCACAGCCATCTGACTGATAAATACGCTGCTTAAACTTTATGGAGGCAAAACCCCTAGGCTCTGGTAATTTACTGGATTAGAGGTGCAGAAGATCAGAAGATAAGCAGTAATAGTCATAATCATAATAGTGGTGGTCGCAGTAATAGTAGTAGTAATTTAGCTTTTCCACATCTACATGAAATTAAGTGAAAGAGGAAAGTCAGGCCCAGTGGGGTGGGCGGTGGGGAGAAGGCAGAACAGGAGTTCCAAAGCAGACGTGTTGTGGGGGGGAACAGATTTCAGGCAGATGAATGGAGCTTGGCGGGCGGGGGGCTGGGGGCAGGAATATGCAGATCTGGTGACAAACAGAAGTAGAGAGTTGAATGAGAGGCAGGAAAACAACAAGAGCAAAAGAATGGAAGGCAGTCAAAGCAAGAACATTTTGACAGAATGAGACGTGAATGAAGAATCAGTGAAAGACACAAAGAATTGCTGGACGTGTCAAAGGGGAATCAGCCAGCCTGTTCAGGGCAGCACCATCAACTCACCCAGAAATGGTCCTATTTTCGAAGAATGAAAGCACTCCGAAGACTCTTACAGCCTCATGGGATTGGAGCTCTTTTTTTTTTTTTTTTTAGACCGGGTTGAGCTGAACTCTGTTTTGTCATATTAACAATTTGATGCTGACTCTGTGTTCTTGAAAGAACCTAAAAGCAAATCACAGCCAATGCCCTTTATTTGTGGTCGGGGCCCAGAGTGAAGGTAGGAGGCGGGCAGTGGTTAGGTGGGGAATCCCCACTGTCTGTGCTCATCTTCCTCATTTCTGTGCTGCTTCATTCATGAGTCTTTATTGAAAGGAAATGTACTCATACGGGTGTTAAATCAAATACCGCTTTAAAATATGGCAACAGGTTGCTAAGAAATTTAGCGATGTGTTTGATCTTTTCAAAATGGTGGGCTAAATTTAGTTTAGATTTAAAATTAGCACTCCCAGGGGCGCCTGGGTGGCTCAGTTGATTAAGCGACTGCCTTTGGCTCGGGTCATGATCCTGGAGTCCCGGGATCGAGTCCCACATCGGGCTCCCTGCTCGGCGGGGGGTCTGCTTCTCCCTCTGACCCTCTTCCCTCTCGTGCTCTCTGTCTCTCATTCTCTCTCTCAAATAAATAAATAAAATCTTTAAAATAAATAAATAAATTAATTAAATAAAATAAAATTAGCACTCCCATTTTAGAGATAAATACTGAAATGTCTCCAAAGGAAATAATAGGATTGTAGGGTTTGTTCAAAAGAATATGGTGGAGGGGATTTGGGGGGTGGAGATATAGATGAAATTAGATTAGCCATGAGTTGGTAACTGTCAAAACTGAGTGATGGATACATGGTGGCTCATTGTACCATGTACCTTTGAATTTGTTTGAAATTTTCCAAAATATAAAGATTTTCTTAAATAGCTACGAATTACAGAAAACTCTCCCTTCATACTTACAACAGAGGGATAGTGAGTAAGAGGGTTGCCTTTTTTTTCTTGGGAGAAGTGGATTATTCTTCCCCCCTGGTCCAAGGTCACACTTTTAATAGCACTGCGATCACCTCCCTTCTAGCCAAGAAAAACTACAGAGGAGTAACTGGGATTCTACCAAGCTGCATGAAGATTAAGAGATGCAAAGAAATACAGAGGAGAGTTCTTCGTCTATATAACCCTTCTTAGTGTTACCAGTGTAGAATCTATCCTGCCTCTCTCCCAATTTCACCCCATTTCTCCTGTTGAGCTACATTCTACCATGATGCCATTGACCCATGAGGCAAGGTACACCTTAAAAAGAGGCCTCTGAAATTCTTCTCTGTAAGGATGTGTTTCATCACCTTACATAATGCCCTTTTTTACTCTTAGAAAAAAAATGTGTGTCATCAATAATTGGAAGAGTTGGCTTCTCCTGTATAACCGATCAGTCTTTGCCTGTGGATGATGTAAATGTTTTTCTTCATGTTTCCTTCCTTAGCTTGATGGCTAAAAAGCTAGGGCCAAACCAGACTCATATTCATATTCATGTCCGAGTATTTTTTGTCTGTGTCTTTAATAATATCTTATGATGGAACATCTTAAGTACATGAGAAAGTAAATAAGACCGTTATAATCAATCCACATGAACCCATTCCCCAGGTTCAACAAATATCAACTCATGGCCAATTTTGTTTCATCTATAGCCACCCACTCTCCCAGACATCAAATCATATCATCCATAAATATTTTAACAAATATCTTCAAAAGAAATTGACTATTTTTAAAAAAGATTTTATTTACTTATTTATTTGAGAGAGAGAGAGAGCATGAGCAGGGGGAGGGGAAAGAGCAGAGGGGAAGAGACAGAGAATCTCAAGCAGACTCTGTGCTGAGTGCAGAGCCTGACATGGGGCTCAACCCCACGACGACCCTGAGATCATGACCTGAGCTGAAACCATGAGCCAGACACCCAACTGACTGTGCCACCCAGCCCCAGAAATTAACTATTTAAAAAAAACATAACCACAACAGCATTATTACATGTAAACAAATAAGTAATTTCTTAATATCTACTCAGTGTTCAAAATTCTAATGGTCTCATAAATGTCTCAAATATTTTTAAATTACAATGTGTTTGAGTCAGGATCAAAATTAGGTCTATGTTTTATGATTGCTTGATAAAGTTTCTTGTACCTCTCTTCATCTATAAGCTCTCTCTCCATTTCTTACTGTCTGCCCCTCCCTCTGCATGAAATTGTTTTGTCGAAGAAATCTGGTCATTTGTTCTATAAAGTTTCCCACTGGATTCTGCCAATCATATCCCCTATTGATACACACACTCCTCTGTAAGTTAGAGCTTGATCAGATTCAAACAAAATTTTTCATCTTTGTCAATTTGATAAGTAAACAAGAGTACTTCATTGTTTTTAGTCACATTTTTAAAATATTTAATAAAGCTCAGCATTTTTATATGTCTACTGATACCTGTATTTTTCTACGAACTGCCTATTCAAAATACTTGTTCATTTTTATATTATTATTGCTGTTGTTGTTTTATTTGTGTTTTTTATTTTTTTTAAGATTTTATTCATTTATTTGACAGACAGCGAGCACAAGCAGGGGGAACGGCAGGCAGAGGGAGGGGAAGAAGCAGGCTCCCCGCTAAGCAGGGAGCCCGATGTGGTGCTGGATCCCAGGACCCTGAGATCATGACCTGAGCCGAAATCAAGAGTCAGACACTTAACCAACTGAGCCACCCAGGTGCCCCATATACCTTTTTAATACGTACACCTCTTATGTAAGTTCATTGGCTTTCCATCTCAAAATTTAATTAAATATGACAGTCATTGCAGACATCTTCACTTGATCCTAACTTTAAGAAAAGACTTTCAGGGGAGCCTGGCTGGCTCAGCTGGTGGAGCACGTGACTCTTGATCTCAGGGTTGTGAGTTCAAGCCCCACATTGGGTATGCAGCATTCTTAAAATAAAACTTAAAAGTTTCATAAAACAAGAAAAAGAAAACTTTCCAGCCTTCCACCTTAAAAGAATTATGCTGGGTTTAGATTCAGTTTGGTAGAAGAAGCATATAACTATTCACATTTTAGTGAGTGACGTAGGCTAATAATGGTTCCCAAGATGTGCCCATATCCTAATCCTTGGCACCTGTGAATGTTACCATAGTAACGATTTTGCAGATGTGATTAAATTAAGGATCTTGAGATAAGGAGATTATCTTGGATTATCCAGCTGGACCCTACACGCCATCAGAAGTGCCCTTATAACAAAGATGAAAGGGGAGGTTAGACTCACCTAGAGAAGATGGAGGCAGAGCCTGGAGTACGGGAGGCACAGGCTGAGGGGTGCCGAGGAATGTGGAAGCTCCCAGAAGCTACATGAGGCAAGGAAAGGATTCTCTCCCAGAGTCTCTGGAGGGAGCCTGCCCTGCCCACATCTTGATTTCAGACTTTTGGCCTTCAGAAGTGTGACAGAATAGATTTCTATTGTTTTAGGCAACCACGTTTGCACTAATTTGTTACAGCAGCTATAAGAAACTGATACAGTGAATTATTAGAAATGGACACTGAGGGGCACCTGGGTGGCTCAGTCGACTGGGCGTCAGACTCTTGGTTTCGGCTCAGGTCCTGATCATCAGGCTCTGTGCTGAGCATGGAATCTACATAAGATTCTTTCTCCTCTCCCTCTGCCCCTCCCCCTGCTCACACTCGAGCTCATGCTCTCTCTCTATTTCTCTCTCAAATAAATAAATAAATAACATATTTTTTTAAAAAAGAGAAAGAAATGGATACTGAATTTTATCAAATTATCTCTCAAAACTTATCCAGTGTCTCTCCCACCATACCCGTGCTGCCACACTCTCTACCAAATATATTTCTCACTTTTCCCTTTTTCCTTTCTTTTATCCCTTCATTTTCACTCCTTTCATTTCCTTCTCAACTGCTTCTGTCACTGAACTTCCAAAGCATCCTGTGATCCTACAATGCCACTAGTGATAGAAACACCTAGAAGGTCTTCACCGGATGATAAAAGGGGGCAAAACAAGCAACACTGAGAAGTTAACTGCAAACTAGAAGAAATGGGTATGGGGAGATGGAGCCATCCTCCTCCTTGGTGGATGCCCTTTGCTGGAACAAAAAAGGAGTAGATGCTGACCTCCTTCCAGTTCTTTCTAACTCAGTGACATCTCAGAGGAAAACTAAGAAATGCAGCTCTTTCCCCAGGCCTGTGGCACATTCTGGAATCCTTATGCCCCCTGCCAACAAGAAACAAGAAGGTAAAGACACCATGGCCAAAGCAGTATCGAAACACTATGGCAGGATCCTTCACCTTGACACTCCAATCCTCCAGCCTGAAAAAGCTCAGTATAATCCTCTGCACCATGGTTGTTTCTGCAGTATCTAGTCACCTTCTTTCCAGGGAGGCTGGATGGTTCTTGAGAGTCATGTTTTGCAAACCACAGCCTGGCCAAAGACCGTGGTGGGCTCTGCCTTTTGGTCTGCCCCATACTCTCGTGGCTTAGCGCATCTCCCACTGGTGACACTCCAGATGCGAGGTTCCTAACAGGCGATTAAAAAACAAAGACCAATAACTTCGAGAAAACCACAACATTTAAATGTGATTTTCCGAGAAAAGAATGCTAATGTACAAAAGCAAACAACTTAATTGCAAAGCAGAGTTCTTTATGCAAATCTACTCATACTTCAATCCTAAAGATGTCAGATCCTGTGGGGCCCTGAGGTAAAATCCCACAGTCCTATAGAAAGACTTAGGCCCTCCCTTTTTTCACTCCTGGATAAACCACTGTCACTTTAATTAACAAGTATTGCTTCAGGCAGTGCTATACGTCAGGCTGTCAAAAGCAGTGGAGTTCTCTAGTCTTGGGTAGTAAGTCTAGAAATCATTCCAGGCAGTCACCTTGAAACATGTAAATCAGTTAATCTCCAAGACTCAGCACCAAAAAAAAAGTATATAAATTCCTTACTGCACCAGGGGAATGTTCCACCTACTTATGGGATCAGAAACGTGAGTCAAAAGTGTAAATTAAATACGCTTTGTGGGGGCGCCTGGGTGGCTCAGTCAGTTGAGGCAATTGACCTCCCCCCTCCTCCCGTGTCCAGCTCCCTGCTCAGCAGGGAGTCTGCTTGTCTCTTTCTCCCTCTGCCTCTCCCCCCTACTTGTGCTCGCATGCGCTCTCTCAAATAAATAAATAAAATCTTTAAAAATTAAAATAAATAAATACATACATACATACATACATACATACACTCTGTGATGTCTTTTTTTTTTTTAAAGATTTTATTTATTTATTTGAAAGAGAGAGAATGAGAGAGAGCACATGAGAGGGGGGAGGGTCAGAGGGAGAAGCAGACTCCCTGCCGAGCAGGGAGCCGGATGCGGGACTCATCCCGAGACTCCAGGATCATGACCTGAGCCGAAGGCAGTCGCTTAACCAACTGAGCCACCCAGGCGCCCCAACACTCTGTGATGTCTTATACACACTGTTACCGAGGCAATTTCCCTAAGCTGGCTTCAGTGGCTCACCAAAACTATGAGGAGATGATTTGAAATGATCCCTGGATAGACTACTTTCATAAAACTTTAAGCCAGAGATTCTTATTGGATTGACTTCAATTGAATATTATTGATGGCAATTCTCACAAGCCTTGATTATTGGAAAGCAGTGAGAAGGACTGGGGGACGTGCTCGCCCAACCAAGTTATATAGGGTTCCGTTGGAAAACACCTCCACATGACCCTGTAAAAAGGAGACCAAGTGGGAAGGGACCCAGCATAGCGCTCACTGGCTGTAAAACCTTGAGAAGCTATTCATCCAAGCCTCAACACTAAAATGGGAATATCAGTATCTACCTTGGTGAATAACACAAGCTAAGCAAGCAACACATAGTGCCAATGGATACAAACAAAGTGTTGGATACATGGACGCTGAACATTGTCAGGTCAAGCTACTGCTGTTTTTGGCCGGTGTGTCCTTATTAACAAGTAGCTGCTCATGAGAATAATAAAAGCAACTAATACTTATTGAGAAGTTATTACACGCAAGGCACGGTGCTCAGCCTCGCGCATAAACTCTTAACATAATGATCGCTACAACTACATGGGATAAATACTACTTCCTCCATCTCAAGGGCCCTGCCCAGATACATGGAGCTTTACAGACGTGAGCAGTCAGCTTTCACATATAATATAACAGTATTCAGTCCTTTGATTGCAATGACTTCTCATCACAGGTCTATTTCCACTAGCTCGTAGAAGGATTATTGCTGACCTCTGTCCAAGCTATATATAAAATCTGGGCTCTGGAAGTAAAAGTTCTGGGTTAAATCCTCCGTGCAGCTTTTCTACCCCTATGCCCGGCCATCTTGAGATAACAAACGCAGGTTATAAAGCTGTTTACCAGGAATTACTGTGACATGACCTAAGATCTATCAGGAGATCAAGACTCAACTGAAAAGCTATATTGCCATGAACTTTGTCCAGGATATTCCACTGTAACCTTTCCAGACTTGCGTTCCCCTGATTCTAAGATGGAAAACACTCCATCAGTAAAACTAGCTGATGTTCTCATTAAATGGTATTTGGAGGAGCATGCTACCAGTTTCATCCACGATGTCATCAAGTTTTCTACTATATGATAGCTCTGTGGTATGTTTGTAAACTAGCACCCCTTCCCTAAGGGGCTTCTGATAAAATTGATAAGCCTATCTCCTACCTGACGGGAATTACTCCAGCAGGACAGTAATGGTCAGGTGACTATTTGAAACTGGTCACTGTGGCTTCTGTTTGCAAAACGCTGTCTTGGCGACACTTGGCCTGTGGGGTGACACTCCCTTTTCAATACAAAAAAATGGGGGGGGGGGGGGGACTCTCTTAGTCCATTAATGGACTCCTCGATGGGCTCATCCTGACGGTAATCTCAGCCTGATGTTTCTCCCATTTTACCAGAAGATTCACCAGTCCCGGCTGGACTAAACACTCAAGGTCACAGGGACCCTTAAATCTGACTATAGGTCAGAAGCCTTAACACTCAAAATAAAATAAATGCACAAAACCGAATATTTCCCAACGACTATCGTGGGGGCATTTTCTGTGAAGGAAGAACTCCTGGGGCGCCTGGGTGGCTCAGATTGTTAACTGTCTGCCTTGGGCTCAGGTCATGATACCAGGGTCCTGGGCTCGAGTCCCACACTGGGCTCCCAGCTCAGTGGGGAGTCTGCTTCTCCCTCTCCCTCTGCCTCTCCCCCTGCTTGTGCTGTCTCTCTGTTTCTCTCTCTCTCAAATGAATAAATGAAATCTTAAAAAAAAAAAAAGAAAGAACTCCTGGTTTACTTACTAAGGTAAAGATCGTACTTTTTCTCCAGGAAACTGCCCCTTCCTCCAGTGCCTAACAAATAAACCTACCAACCAACGAGGCCTGACACCAAAGCATATTCTCATTGCATCTGGCCTCGTAACCAGAATTAGAGTCCACTTGGGATTGTTGGGTCTCTAGCCAATGCCTGGGAAAACCATTTGGAAAATCCGCTTCCCACCTAGCTGAAACTTCATCTCTCTCTCCCAACCCTAACTGCTCTAGGTAGATGTCTTAGACCTCATGCTAGCACAGGACTCCCAACTTTGTAACCTCAATCTCTTCATCAAAAGGACACATCAATGAAAACAGGAAAATACACACACTTTGCAAAAAAAAAAAAAAAAGTTAACTGTGGGGGTAAAAAAAAAACACATAGTATATTGAGGAAGAAATAAGGATCTAAGGAAAGTTTTGGAGTTTGGGGTTTTTGTGCGTTTATTACTGCTTTCTAAATAGGATGGGAATTTTGAGCAGCTGTCTAGCTGAGAAAAGAAGCCAATGGGGAAAGGGACAAAGAGGCCAGAGAAGTACACAGAAATGATGGGGCAAAACTCTTGGCAGACAGTGTGGGATCGATGGCACAGTGAAGAAGCCTGGCCTCAGAGAAAGGAGTGGAGGGTCTCTCTTTAGGACAAGAAGGAAGAAGGGCATAAAAAGTGACAACAAAGAGAAAATTCAATGCAAAGGCAAGTTGAGAGAGGCACTCCGTATTGACGTAAAACAGGGTGTTCTGCCAAGATTTCCCATGGGGTCCTCGGAAGCACGGAGCCAAGAAACATTAGAAACAGCCAGAATAGGTCAGCAAAGGAGTTCCTGTAGTTTCAAATGAAACTTTACCACATACTCTTGCAGTATATAAGTTCCTGAGGAAGTAGCTAATGAGAAACATAAGGGAAAATTCCAAAAGGCAACTCAACTATGTCAAGCTAAAGTAGGTGTGATCTAAAACTTCCTTCTTTCCTCTAAGAACCTCCACTCCAGAGCTGCTCATCATTAAAATGTGGAAACACACGAGTCAGATGTGGTTCTCAGCTCAAGAACCATCCATGAGTCTCAAAGGTCACACATGTGAGGATGGGATGCATTTCATTCTAGAAAATTCAGGGAGTTTGCTACCAAAGAGCTTGAATGCTTCACCTCCAGAGTTGCAAAGCCCAAAGTCTAAAACTCTGATCCATGACACTACCTTTGCCCTCCAGATTTCATTACAACAGCTTTATTGGGATACAATTCACACGCACAATTCTGTCTATTCAGATTGTACAATTCAACGGTTTCGAGCACACTTGCAGACGTGTGCAAACCATCGCCACCACCATTTTCATAACATTTTCGTCACCCACAAAAGAAACATCATACCCATTAGCCATCCCGGTCTCTTTTCCTCCAATATCATCCCTCCCTCTGGTCCTCGGCAACCACCAGCCGAAACTCTGTCCCTGTACATTTTCCTATTCTTGATACTTTGTGTAAGTGACATCATACAATATGCCGCATCCTCCTTTTGTGCCAAAGACTCTGTTCTCTGAAGTTAAATGCATTACTACTTCTCCCAATTGTCTCAAGATCCAAGAGCTGTGGGGCCCAAAGCTTTGCTCTCTGAAAAGCTGAAACTAGGACCGTCCCAGGGGGTAAGGCTGTGCAATGAGTCCTGTTCTCCCTGTGTGCCAAGTTGCAAACAGGTTGGGGCTGGTGGGAAGAACGGAATGTCCCATGACAAAGAGGAGGGGCGCAGAGGGGGGAAGGCAGCAGGACGAGCTGCCACGGTGTTTCACGTGCTGGGGAACGAAAGTGAAAGAGCATGTAGGAGCAGGGAGGAGAAATGCAAAATCCTGGGAAATGACACTAAGTTCTTTAGAGTGCTTCGCTTTCGAGAATATAAACCCCATGAATGGCTGGACTATCTTTTCAAAACTCTGTGTTTCTTAAATTTTGTAAACGAGTAAGAAAACATTCAACCTGGGAATATCAGGCTAACTCTCCAAATCCTCCTGTTTTGGGGGAAGAGCAAAGAGCCAAGCGTGTGTACAGCCAAGGGGGTATTATAGAAAGTAAAAGCACATTCCCCGGGCTTAGCTCCCCA